ATTTGAGAGGCCGCCGCCGCCGCCGCGGCTGCCGCTGCGGCCGCAAGCTGGGAGGTGGACGGTCGGCCGTAGATTTCCGTGCCAGCATCGCTTCCGATCATGCCCATGCTGTAGCCGAGGTTCGCGTACTGCCGACCGTCTCGTCCGCCGCTAGGGTTGTCCATCACGGACCCGTCGGCGCGCACATTTAATCCCTTCCCCACGACGGCGGCGCGTCCTCACCACGGAAGAATCGCGTGCGGAACTCGGCGCGGTGTCGTCTCCCACGTGATCGTTCATTTAGAGGAGCACGGGACAATAACACGCACCGCACGAGCGCTCCCCGCGAACTGAATGCGCGCGCGGTTCACTATCGTAACCTGACCTACGTGCGTTTACCGCGACGACGAGCGGTATACCTCCGCGGTGCGCGTGTCCCGTGCGCTGCGCGGCCTGTCGCTGCCCCCACCAAACCGCCTCGACGCCGTAAAAAAACTAGTCCGCCGTGGCCGCACAGCCGTAACGCAGGGACGATCTGTGCCGAAATCGACGTGGAAAAATTCCGCCTGCGTTCAATTGCTCGGACCGCGTGACAAAACGACCGGACACACTTCCGTAACAGAGATATCCGGCCGTGAATGCGCTCGCGGAGTGGTACAGCGTGCGGCGAGAGGGCGTCCCCGGCTGCCATATTTAGAAGTAGACGTTACCATATTAGGGAAAGTTTGCCAAATATGGTGAACAGAGGTGGTCCTTCCTTTTCGAATGATCGCACGGCGCGCCGCTACGAAACACCAATCCAACTGACAGTAGCGCTTCCTGCACGCCTTTCCGGCCCCCTCTGATCAATTCGTAATTTTATACGTGACCGCAAATCCCTCTTTCTCTCTCACTCTCTTTCGCTTTTTCCGTATGCGCGGATACGTAGCTTTTACGAATAAGCCACCGGGTTGCTTCCGACTTGCCACCCTGTTACCCCGCTTTGCTACGTGCCAACGTTTCGGCGGAACGTTAATCAGCCCGAGGAACGCGGACGTCATTGACAGAACTCCGACGAGACAGCTCAAAGCGCAGCTTCGCACGAAATATTCTATGTACTTTGCGAGTCGAGTTTTCCCAAAGTGCAGTCTATGAGCTTTTTGTGTAAAACATTCTGTAAATTATGTTCATCGGTGACTACAGGAAGTTCTCAAATCGTAAAACACAAGTAACAAGTTTTAGATGGTTTTCCTAATACAATATAGAAAGCGTGTACTTTTAAGACATTGCTCTTTGAATTTTATCTTTCTTTTTAAATTCTTTTTAGATTTTCTCACGTCGACTCACACTTGTTAACTTAAAAGGATCCAAAATACCATAAAGTATCATCGTAAAGATCTTCCCCGTGTACAGAATCATTTACACATTTATTTATACAACTGTACACAAACATTCCTTTGATTCTTGCGTATAATTCATTAAATAACACATATCAATACAAAAACTTATCGCAAACTTACTTATTGTAACATATCCTACTTTAGCTCGTTATCTGTACAAGATTGAAACAAACAGTCCTCTAAACAAGTTCACGGAATTAAGACTGATCGCCGGATGCTGTTGCGCGAGCGTGAGTCATGAGGGTGTCGTGAACTTCTCGAACGTACGCAACTTGTGCGCGCACGGTCATCAGGAACTGCGGATAGGACAGCGCCGGTCCTTCCTGCGAGCTCACCGTGTCCGTGCGCGTGGGTATTACGGACATCGGAAGATACCGAATCGAACTCGAGTTCTGCGACAAGCATTCCACGGAAGTCTTCAGATGTAACTCGATCTGATCGCAAATGGAATAGAATTCTTCCATGTATTTGTTGAACCGGAAATCGGGCTGATCGTTGCTCTTCATAGTTCCCATATCGACCATGCTGTTGTGGTGCAACGTCTGCGCGGCGCTTTTCAGAGCTATGGCCAGAGTTTCTCGCAACGGCCCGACCAAGGATTTTACTTTGGAGATGTTGTCCAGCTTGTCCTGAGCCTGCTGTTGCTGCTGCTGTTGTTGTTGCTGCTGCTGTTGCTGTTGCACCTGTTGCTGCTGGGTCTGTTGAGCCTGCTGCTGGTTCTGAGACATCTGAGGATTCACCGGCTGACCCATTTGCCCTACCATGGCTCCCGGTTGTTGAATCGGTGGAATGTTCATTGTGAATTCTGAAGAACAAACGCACCATGCTATGTATCGTGTAAATAGAAAATCCGAGATCTCGAATGTCTATCAATTTACATACAATAAAAATCGAAGAGTTTCAACTAATAGAACATCGTGCATTGAATTTCTTACCAATTTTTTTTAAGCAACAATGCTCGCGCGAGCGAATCTCAGCGATGTGTTTTGTTTGTATATTCCGCTCCGCAAAAGAGGTTAGGAGAGTGTTCCGTAATGGTCACGTCGCTGCTCGTTGACGCGTGCGCAAATGCGGTGCGCGCGATCCGAGCGGCTATATGAACCGCGCTTTATCGTTGACCAATCAGCGCGCGGCGACGACGAGGTCGAATCGCGCGCACGCATGGCGTCCGGGGGAGAACCGACGCCATCTAACGACTGGCATTCCTGCTTCGCTCCCGCTGGTAAAACCAGGACCATCGTCGGAAGAAGCGCGGAAACTCTCCTCGGTCGTTCGCGGCGTTTCGTCAGTTTTGTTGTTCGGTGCAAGTGCGTGCGCGTTCGCGTATCCCCGTGTGTTCCCCGGTTGTGCGGACGTAAGTGTTCTTGCAGATTTTTGGCACGGCGATGGCTCGTGCGCGCCGTGTGAAATGATAGCCGCGGAACGACGGATTTCACTGCGCGCCGGCCAAGCGTCTGGGCGAGCGAGCTAACCGTGTGCGTTGGCACGCAAAGCGAGGGACGGCGCGGATCAACCTCCCGCGAGAGCCACGGGGGACTTTTTAGCGCATCATTGGCGGACGTTACATTGCCCCGGCTGCCCGCCGCGGATCGCAGGTAACGAATCGCCGACGTGAGTAAGTCCCGAGCGCGCCTTTTATCCCGCCAGCTGCATCTCCGCGGCGAAAATTCGCCCGTGTTTATGTTTACTCCCTTAATTACCCCCTCTCCCCGCATCTACTTGTTCCCGTAGCCCGCCTTTCCTCGATTTTTCTTGGCGTTTCTTCACCACGCGCTTCCCCGCTTCCTCGCGCTTCGGCGTTTTTTTTAAACCATTGACGGAAAGAAATGTTTCGTGCGTTTTGTTTTTTTTTTTTTTTTTATTTTTTTATCGCTCAGATTTGACTCGCGCAACACCCGACGTTCGATCTGCTTGTAAATATGGTCTAAAATATGGTGTAGCGTGATATACCGGAGATAATAATTATTGTTATGTAAACTTTGTATTATCATGTGACTTTCTTGTTTCTTAATTTGCTCTGTTACAATCGCGAGAATAACATTAGATACAAGATATAATGTGATATTAATTTAGCTCAATTAGCATTGCATATTTATCGGGTAGTAAGCAATTAGCGATTATGTGTGATTTTGTAATTTATTTTGCGCTCGACTCAATTTGTAATGAAAAAGCATTTACATGACATTCTCAAAACTCTATTCGATGATACATATTTGTACATTGGCTACAAAAATAGTTTATCTTCGGTTAAGAACACCGTTAAGTGTTGTAAAATAAATTCTGGTAATAACTATAACAAATAACCGTAAGCTAACACTATAACGAATTGAAAATGAATCTGTCTTCTTTAAAATCAACAATATTTGAAACAGGTTTTTTCAACTTCTATTAGTTACTCCATGCTTCCTATGAATGCCATGGCACAGAAAGTGGTACCGGGAACAGAATCTGGATCAATGAAGCCTCTGACGGGAACTGGATTGAGTTATGTCACGCTGCAACCACCCAGTCAGCCGCTCAGTCTGGTGCAGGATCACAGACCGTCGGTGTACCAGACTCCTCCTTACATAGAGAGTAACATGGAAAAGGAATCGGAATCCAATAAGTTAATCCCAAATGGTGTGGAAATCACCAAAACGGATACCGAGCAGGACATACCTGTTGTAAAGCAAAACGAATCTAACAGAAACAACAACCTGAGTCCAGAGAATTCTGTTCAAGAGCAACCGTGCGAGATGCAATCGGAACAGGTGCTAACATCTCTAATGGAGTTCCCAATAAACACTCGTGAGTAATTTAATACGTTTCTTGCGCAAAAAAAAGATAAAATTAAAATATTAAAGATTAAAAAAAAACAAATTGTATAAACTTATGAAAAATACATATGTTTTTTTTTTTACAGCTCTATGTACTCCACCGCAAAATAAAGTTGAAGAGAAAAAGACAACTCCTCCTGTAAATAATGGATCGAAAGAATCAGACAGCAAGGCCGTTACTACTCCTGTATATACCAAACAATCTCCACACAAGCCGGAAGAGTCACCGGTGAAAAACGAGGTTCCGAAAGCAAAACCCGCAAATCAGAATACGAAAGCGTCAAGCGACAATACTGCAGCGACATTAACTAGTACATACAAACCCGATGCAAAGGTCACTACCTCTCCGAAAATAATTAAAAGGAAACCTAGAGAATTGAAGGATTTGAAAGCGTCGGCCGTAGTTGCTGACGGCGCAAGCAAACCCAAGAGAAATCGGATTCAGACACAACCGTATCAAAGTCCGTTGCCGGAAAAGGATCTCGCTTTCCTGGTAAAAAGTCTCAACAAATCTCCCGGAACGAAAGCGGCCGATGATAAACTCATTGTGTTTTACAAGTAAGTATTCCAATGCTTTTGCAAACATTGCGAATATGCATCGATGAAATAACAAATTGTTGTGTTGCTAGAAACGAATTTTTGGCTGTGAGAAACGCAGAAGGAAGCTTTTATGTCTGTCAAGCGATGCAAAACATCTACAAATCGAGCAGACGTATCCGCATACGTTGGCTGTCTCAGGATAAGACCAACGGCGAATTTTACTCTCCAGATTTCTACGATACCATAGGTAATGTGTCGGTTGTGTTTATGTTATATATAACGTATTGTACATTATTCGCCTTTGTCTCTGTTAACTTTGTTCGTTAATTTTCAGATTTTGATTGTATATTAACAAATTTAAATCTGAACAAAGTCGACAAGCATAAGTTCTGGTTAACCAGAATAGAACTGCTTCGCACGGAGAACATCTTGAAACGGGCTATTGATGTTGAAGCTGGCGTGTCCGAGAAACCTCGAGTCACAGAAGAACATCCCGATGGACGTGAGTAATTTTTAATTCAGTAAACTGACAATTGTATCGTCCACGTACGTGTGACGTTCACGTAATATTTCATTCAATCAACAAGCTTATAAATTTTATGACGTTTCTTATTTACAGTTGACTTGTCGCTGTACAAAGACGAGTCTCAGTTGAAGAGACGAAAAGCTTTGCAAAACGAGAAGCCGAGTCAGCGTAAGAAGACCAAGCGGATCGCGAGTTCCACCGACGATGACGCGGACGAAGAAGAATCGGATCGGACTCGGAAGACGTCCAAGACCAGCCGAGCGAAGAAACGTTCGATCAACAAGGCGCTAGCGATCGCCAAGTCCGTCGCGAAAGGCAGCAGCAGGGCAGAGAGAGCTCTTAACAGAAGCACGAAGTCCGGCAATAGTTTGACAGGCAACGTCGCTACAACCGTCGCTGCTGCGACCACAACTACCGTCACTACTGCTGTTACTACTACTGCTGCAGCGGCCGTCACTACTGCTGCTACTACAGCTACTACAACTGCTACTACCACTAACACCGCTACCAGTCCCGCTGCCGCGGCGGATACTAAAAATAATACAGAAACAAAGAAAACGGACGTGAAGAAGAGCGGAAAGCAACAGAGTAACAACAACACCAGAGGAGTCGCAAGAACAAAAGTTGGAGGTAAAACTTAAATGTGTATATGTACAATAATGAAACACACAATTTCGCTGAGTGCAAACTAAGCGGCCGAATTTTCGAAAATCAATGTTTCGTGTAATTTGCATCAATAAATTACCTGATGACATTCACGCGCACTTCTGCGTCCGCGTTTGACTCCTAATAAAGCCTTATTATTGTTCTCGGTTTAAGTTTGCACTTCCCGATAGTTTATTTGTTCGTTTGTCGATTTAATTTGAAGGTTCTACCCAAACCACACAGCAAGCCAGTAAAACGGCGGGACGTCCGAAACGCGTGGCCGCTACCACCGGTGTCGTTTCGACCGAAGAGACAGCCTCTCCGAGAAAGAAACCGCGCGGTCGGGCATAAAACTCACTTTAACGTTGCTTTTTATTTTTTTTTATTTTTTTTTTTAAATGCTATAACAAATTACAGCCGAGTCTGTATCGTAGGCAATATGTACGTGTGGTACACCTCTTTGAAAATTGTGTAATCAATTTGTTATGTAATATATGCATATATGCGCGCGTGAATTTCAAGATTCTTAAAAAGAAAAAAAAATATATCATGTCCTGCGATAATATTATATTAGTCCAGTGATACGGGATCAACGGCTCGCGATCAACTTCGTCGGGTCGTAATATTTGACAAAAGAGGAGAAGTTGAAAAAAAAAGAGATAAAGATTTAAAAATAAAAAATAAAAAAAAAAAAGAAGAGAGATTTATGCGAGAGAGCGATATTGTGATATCATACAAAATTTGTACATATCGTCTACGGCTCAGACTCTTTCACAGAGGAAGAAAGTCACGGGATGTGTGGGGGAGGGGGGGGGAAAACGGTACCTTGAGTTGAGTAATAACTAATCTATACAGGGTGTCACATACTAATGCACTCTTGCAATAGTCTATTTTTGATGTTGTGAGTGAACCGTACGTGATTCAGTTGATTTTAATGTACACTTTCCATTGGATATGATATATACTATGTACAAATATACGTGTCTCTGGGATGTGGGGGAGTTATATGTATTGTGTAAAACAAAGAGAGAGTGAGAGAGAGAAAGAGAGAGTAAGATACAGAGAATGAAAACAAACCAAAATAGTATCAGTGAGAGATGAAGAGATAAAAGAACAATCCCGAATATTGCCGATCCCCTGAGTTAACTTTCTTATGCGAATCGGCGATGGATTTTTCGAAGTACAATGCATTACATGTACATTATGCTGAATCCTTGCTGTTACACAAATAGCACGTAAAAAAAAAAAAACAAAAAAAAGAAACAAAAAAAAAGTATGGTCCAGCGCCTATTGTTAAAGACAGGCAAGAACAAAGAAGTGCCCTGAACTGTCTCCTTGCCGAATCAAGGAAATCGCGAGGAAAGAGTCGCGAGCGGAAAGTAGCGTGTTGCTTATTTGTTTTTCTGAATTTCACACTTTGCGACGGCCCGTCATTGTAAAATCGCAGGGTCCGCGAAAGAGCGCGAGAGGAAGAGAGAAAGAAAGAGAGTGCGCGTGTGTGTAGAAGAATGAGTGAGTGCCACAATTACGATTTACCACATAGATATATAATTTTAGGTAAAACAAAAAACTAAGAAAAAAGATTTATTTAGAGCGATAAGTCGGAAACCCAAGTGTATAAATCTTCTTTTATCATGTACGTGTATCAGTTTTAAGTTTCTTTTACGCCTAATCAAAGATTTATCGTGACGATAAACTGTATATTTAATAATGTAACGTTAAATGCGATGATTATGATTTTATTATGTTTCGCCAAAATCATATATATATATATATATATATATATGTGTGTGTGTGTGTGTGTGTGTGTGTGCGTGATGTGTGTGTGAGTGCATGTGGTGTGTGTGAGCTGTACAAGTGCGCGCACACGCAGATTTATTTTAAAATGTGTAACGTATATATATATATATATTTTATATCTCGTCGACTTAAGTGCGTTGCGTCAAGAACGGCTGCGCCGGAACGGGACGCGTGATATTTCTCGATTGTTGAACATTTTTTCACCGATGAGGAAGAAGTGCTTCGCGCTTTGTTGTACCAATTGCATCGATAGTAGAGAGGCAACTTCCGACCGGTGAGAAACGTGTTGCGACGTGTTTTTTTTTATTACGGTTCCGTCCAACGCGCAGCCGGTAACAAGCTTATGTCTGTTTTTTTTCTCTCTCGAGGTGGAGTCATTGAAACACACATCGTTATTAATGTATAATATGTAATAAGACGTATATGTTTCTTTTTCTACATTTATGGCAGGTACACACACACAGTAGAGGTATGAGAACCTTATGGAACAGGTAGATTATTTATAACGTTACATGTAATAAGGGGTCGACACTTACACACACACACACAGAGCTTCGAGCATGAATCTAAGGTGAGTGCTCGTCGATTACGAGGATGCTGGAGTGGGGGGAGGGTTTCTTTCGATTAATTAATTAAGATTTCGTAACAGACTACTTGTAAGCTATGTATTTTATACATGAATCGCTATGAAATATTGGCGTTCTCTTATTGCTTGATTTCTCTAAAAATAAAAAAACCCAGGATTGTACATAAAGCGATTAGATAATCAAAATTGTGCATATTGTGAATGTCGAGTGTATTTCAGTGAAATCAGAGCGATTATATCGTGCATTTTTTTATTTTATTTAGGCGCGTGTGCGTGTTTTACGTTTTAACCAACAAAAAAAAATAATAATAAAACAACAACGACGCGCAGCTTCCTCGATGTTCTTCATTTCTTGTGTTTTTCTGGCGATTAAAGGCGCTGTACATTGTGAACGATGAGAGAGAGAGAACGTTGTGCACAGAAAGAGAGAGAGAGAGAGAGAGAGACATACGATTCTGCAATGCCGTTTTAAAGGAGGGAAAAAAATAAGAAGAATTGCAGGCATATCGATCTCTGCTCGAAAAACAATAGAATGCGATTACGATTATCATAACTAAGTGGTTAAGGTGGATTTAATTCTGGGAGAAAAAAAACACATGAGTATAAAAAAAAGATCGTACCGATCGTGTCATTTTGGTCCACTGCACACATTGTATTTGCGAAATATACGCATTACAAAGTCTCATACTTGTATAAAAATTTAGTAAAGAGTTCTAATAACAATACATAACACACACACACACACATACACGCAACTGTTTGCTAATGTTATTATTGCTCGACTATTTTTGCTTTTAAGAAGTACTTATGCGTTTTTCTTTCTTTCTTTTTTTTTCCCCGCGAAACACGCGCGCACGATTGCGTGTGTGTCAACAACGTGCAATCAAGCGAATGCAATGATGATGAAATGCGTCCCGAGAGAGAGAGAGAGAGAGAGAGGGAGTGTGACACAATCAAGTGTGAATACTTTTTGTACACTCTCTCTCACGCGTAACTTCTAAAGATTCCTCTTCATTTACGTCGGATACGGATCAAGATGTAATCAACGAAATACATAAATTCTCTCTCAAATACGAAACACACGTTGCGCAAAGCGGAACACTGGACTTTTTCCCCCCAGTTACAAGAAAAATTTGATTTGCCACAAATCCGGAAATTCTCGTTACATAATCCGATTTGTTTTGTTTCCAAACTGGCTACTCCGATAGTTCTCGAAAACAAAACAAACAACGTATCGTCGTCCGACGATAACATCCGTGTACTCGCGTCCGCAACCAGGAGGTACATTCGTATTTTCGTAACAAGTAAAAAAAAACAATGTCAAATTTCGCAGGATGCAATTTACGTGAACCTATGGGAGCACTTTCGACTCGTGTAACGATTAAGTGTCTTAACATTAGCTCTTATTAGATATATAAGCGCTTCGGATGCTGGTTTGCTAAAAAATAAAAAAAATAAAAAATAATAAAAATAATCAAATAAACACACTAACTGTACGATGTATATATTCGTTGGAACATATATCATTCGTGGTATATGTAACATCATGTAAGATTATAAGTAATCATCTTTCTCGCACCGCTTTTGCGTTTTCTTTTTTTTTTTTCTTTTTTTTTTCGATTCTATTCGTAGAGGATAATTCCGAGTACAATGTGTACATATTCCTGAATATCGAACGTTCGCAAAGGTGGATCGACCGTGCATGCACATCAATCACGAACGGACAATTTTCCTTTTGTCTTTTTTCTTTTTCCGCCCGACTTCGGTGAGAAAATTTCTTTCGGGAATTTCTAAGCGCACATGATCTTGTTTTCAGCTTGAAAAACTCACACGCGCGCGCCTCGCTTTTGATCCTCGATTGCGATTCGTCGTTAAAAAAAAAAAAAAACAAAACAAAACAAAAAAAGCGTGAGATTTGTATTATGAACCCTTTCATGCACGAATCTGAGCAAAGTTTTAAACATACGACGATATACTTGCCGATTTTGCTTTTAATTATATATTAATTCCGGAATGAGATGATCACACAGCGTCTCGCTCGCCGTAAATCGTTTAATTAAGAGATATATTACGATATATGGAATTATATCCAAATTGATTAATATAATTAAGAATTAATTATGTTAATAATTAATATAATTCTTTTATAATTGCGATTATAGAAGATACGACATTGCGTTTTATGGTATGTGTGAGGGATGGTTTATTGCATTTGCATGAGAAAGAAGCCCGTCATAGCGCGACAATTGACTGCAATAAACACAATAATTATGGCACATGATAGGGTTAATAATAATTTCAAGATAACTATGAAAACGATTATACATATATACATATATACATATGTGTATATATATATATATATATATATATTGTTAAAGATATAGTAATTGATAAGCGCGAGAATTAATCATTTTCTATCCGCGTCATTATTGTATACTTTTACTTCAGTTCTGCTAAAAAGTTTGCTTGGTAATCTCACAACACAAAGAAATTCCTACGTTTGTAGAAAAGAAACGCGTCCTCTCCCCGAGGAGGAATTTCTTCTGATTTCTTTCGAACGGCCATTGTTTTATATTAGGATAATCGTAAAAAAAAAAAAAAAATATATATATATATATAAGAGATAAGCATTTCATGATCGATCCGATTTCTCAGATTATAGGAGAGATATGTATACATACGCATATACACACATAGATACATATCCGTGTATATGCGTAATACATGTCATTACGCACGCAGTTCGCATACGCTCTCTCAGCGGTAAAGCCGAAAAGTTTAAACGGAGGTACACGAAACTGTTTTGTACAAAGATCTTTTGGTTATGTATGTATAATAAAGTGACGTCCAGAAATTACAATTGAGAGAAGATAATTCCTTCGCGGCGAAAAACACGAAATTTTTTTTTTTTTTCACACAAATCCTTCAAATTCGGAAGATGAGGCAAATATTCGACTTCCTGCAAAAATAATTGCTAGATAAATAACGTTTTAAACTTTAGTGTATTTTTTGTTGTTGTGAAAAAGCATTTTTTCAATAATATCAAAAACACATTAACATATAAATTGTTAAAGTAACATCGTGAATTTCACAGAGACAAACACATTTTAAAGTGGTATATATATATATAAGTGGTGTATATATAATATAAAAATGTGTTTTAATAAATATCAATAGAAAAAAAGTTACAGAAAATATCTACAAAGGGATTACAAATATCGGTATATAAAATTACATGTCCCGTAACACAATAACATTATCAAAGACCTTTACAAGTAACATTCGTCAATGCATCTAGTCTCTTAATAATAAGTCATTATCAGTACTAATTGCTATCTCTAAAGGTAATTTATAATACTCTGTTTATTTATTTATATCGTGACACCTGATTGAGAGATATTGTCGACATAGTTTCGTTTGTACACGCGCGCGCGCGTGCGTGTGTAATAATAATAAATAATTAATATATACTTTTCGAAGCTATATAACAATAGGTGGAAATTTTCATTCTGATCAATTCGCGCATTTAATTAAACCAAATATTGAAAGTACAATTTTGAGAATGTTCGTTAATGAACAATTTTCGCTTACTAAATAAAATCTAGAGTAATTGCCAAATTATCTTCATTTCATGTGTTACAATTTAAAGATTTAATTAATCTAACATTTTTAATGATTCCGGCTCTCTATGGCCCTTGGATGTTTACCGATTTTATATTGAAATTATTGTGTATATTTATATATGTATATATCTAAGAGCCTTGTGTCTCTTCATTGAATACAAAACAAGAGGACCAATATTTGTAAGAAACGCATTATTACTGATTACAAGGCACTAGTAAGAACTCAATTTGTCACTCGTCCCCAAATATCCATTTACACTTCGCGGATAATATGGAAGAGGATCTGTGTTTACAATATAAGACTAGTGAAGGATATACATATATATATACTAGAGTACTGTTCCTAAGAGCATTAATTCTCAATAACAGATTTCAGCGGTGCGAAGGCAGTTGAGAGAGTCGCTACAAAACTTCGAACTGTAAAGGTTTTCGAGTGAGCAAGATTCGACTTTACACACGGCGAACGAGAGCTGATCTAAAAAAAAACAAAATCTGTTATTTAAAATTTAATGCTATAGAAACGGAACACTCGGCCGCGTACAAGATTTCGTCGAAAAAATTTTTTCGCGTGTTCGCTCGAATGTGCGAGTATACAAGCACCATTAAACTACTACGTGTGGCGTTTTTTTTTTTTTTCAAGGTTTTCTAAGAATAATGCTATATCTGTGTCCGATAAAAGGAATTGTATCAATCTCCCGATTACGCAGGAACATTCTCGTAGAAGAGACGCTTCGCTTTCAAGCGTTTCTCGCAGATCAATTCGTTTCTTCTTAAATCACGTAGAAGGCCTGTATACTGAAAGAATTCTCTTTGGGATACTTCCTATGTACAAATGATAGATATAGTCGTAGCTGACGCACTCAGATATAAAAACGAGTGTTGTGGTCCTACAGCATGTAAAATATAACTCTTATGTATAGTGTTTTTTTTTTTTGTTTTTTTTTTGTTTTTTTATTTCCTACCCTGAAAGATGCACCGAATACAATATACACATGTTGTGAATTGCAATCATACTCGAGTTAACGTCTCGTCATTGTTGTGAGTACATTGTGAGCCTGAGATTTGTAGTAACTATATCTTTGTTTAAGGAAACTCGAGGAAATAATATGCAATCATGTTATTTTTAATTTACGTCGCGAGAATGTCTCGCGCAAAAAATTGTAGACGATTTTCTGCAGTGCCACATTATTGTCTCGCACTATAAAATATATAATATAAAACGTAATATTCCTTTTCTGGGATTGCTGGTTTATAGATATGTACCTACTATTGATGAGCACTGCGAGTCTGCGATATTACACAATGATAATACATATTCATTTAATCACAATACGGTGGGTAAACGAGAATTCGGAACTAAACCGCGGCTAGTTGGAAACCGTATGACGTAAAAATCATCTCGTGGCTTAAAAATACAGGTTGACGCGCCGAAAGAATTGAAATCGCGCTTGGCAAATTTCCTACTGAATTTATTTTATCGTATATTTGTAACCTTATTCTCAAGAGCTTCGCAAGAAACACGTGTTCGTTTTAGACTAGAGCCTCGGCGTGATAATGATGATAGTGATGATGTATGTGCTCGTGAACGTGCCGTCTGTTGTTCGTGGCGGCGTTCTGTGAGAACTCACGTTCCAGCCAACGCACCACTTGCGCCATAGCTCTCGCTTGATCCTGCTCCCGTGTAGCGTGTTTCAGCTGATGCTTCTTGCCGGCTCTGCCGGATTGCTGCGTCTGAACGAACTGCGCGTCGTTACGCTGAACGTTGTTGGGACTGTTGATTATCGTCTGGTGATGAGGTGATTGTTGATTGTGATTGGGCATCAGGTTGATGATGTTACGTTGCTGAATATTGGGCTGCAGCACTTCCGAATAAACCGTCGGCACGATCACATTGCGATTCAACATTTGCGAATAATTCTGGGGAGACGAGTGAGTCGCATTGTTTCTTGGTGTTGCGTGTCGCGTCTTTCTGAGATTCGCCGCTCGCGACTTGATCGGTGTCTTGGGAAACGTCACGGAATGATGGTTGCTCTCCCGGATCGGTTTGTGATAGTGCGTGGCCGTTTGACGAGGCGCCTCCACCGGAGGCGCCTGACAGTCCTGATTATTATGATTCGAGGACTCTAGATGGGGACTATGAGATGGAATGCGTTGTTGCTCATTTTGATGTCGTTTTCTATAAACAAGTAAATTACAGAAACTTTTAAACGCGAATTAAACAAAGAAGTTAGAGAACCAGCAAAGTCGCAAAACTTACAAACCTTGTTGTCTGAAAACCGAAATTCTTTTCCATGTTGGCTTGAATAATTTCCAGCAATTGTTGTCTTTGCAGAGCGCCACTGCGCTTCTTTTGATTTGACGTGAGAAGCGGTGTCAGCGGCGAGAAAGTGAGAGAAGTATCACTATCGTCGCTCACATCACCCTCCGAGCTGTTTGAACAAGGGGATTGTAAATGGGGTACTGGACCAACTCTTCTACGCACCTCTTCATGATGCATTCGATTCTTACGGACGTTCTCGTCGTCGTCTTCGCTATGAGTCTCCACTTCTTTTCGTTCAGTCTGTTTGTGTGTGTAACGAGAATAATAAATAAATCAAATAGACGTGATCAAGCGACTGTACTTTAACTCACATAAGATTCAGCAGGATTCGATAAAGGGCAAGTATTCCAGGATTAAGTTTATTACATATAAAAAACTTTTAAACAAAATATTTATGTACGCGAGAAAGTGCATGAATTTCTTTTGTCTCACACTTCTCGTACCACAGCTGGCATCTCACGCACATATATTGCGCGCATGGCTCGGATGTCGGGACGACCGGTCGCTACGACTGGGAGCCCCCATACATATGGTATACTCGAGCATTCGTGGAATGTAGGTCTCACCTGACAACGATATCGTGGTGCTCTTCTCCTTCTGGGAACTCTGCTCGCATTGTGCCGTGCGTGCGTTGTCGCATGACCGCACGTAGCGGCGTGTTTCAAATGGCAACAGGACGTCGAGGTTTGCTGATGACCGGGCGACGTTGTTGTCGCAGTCTGCGGCGTTTGCGTGGCATTTAGGCAGGTGTTGGCGGCGGTGGCGGCATTGCGCGACGTCTGACTGCTGCTGCTCCGTTGATCGGGCGACACCGTCAGTTTCACTTTAATTGTTTTGCTACCGCACGGCGGCACTTGTATTGACGCGCCCAACGTATCGTAGATAGTGGTCACGAGACCGGCTATGTCGTCTTTCGTAATCTTGCCGTGGCCATCAAAGTCGTACAAAGTGAAGGAGAATTCCTGCCGCCTTCTATCACCCTCAGCGACCGACACATCGCATTCGAATTCCTGCAACGAGAACGGGATCGTTCATCTTAAAATTCTCAATCACTCGAGTGAGTTGTGAGTCTAAAAATTAAGAGAAAACTAATTTATTAATTTGTAAATTAAAATATAAACACATTAAAAAAAAAATAGAATTCATCAAACAACATAAAATATAATAAAAATTAAAAATTGAAAAAAAGATATGTAAACTCTTCTTTTTCTCACTCGCTCACTCACTCGCTCATTCTCTCGTGTTTCTTCTACCAAAATATATTAATTAAAGTATTTCACCTCGAAACTAAGCTGTTTCGTTGTACCGCAAGTAGGCTGTTGTTTATCATTACCGGTAGGTTCTACAGGTACATTCGAGCCATTAACCGCGACCTGCGGTGGCTCCGTAGGGGAGATTAAAATCGGTTGCGAGTCCGTCGTCGGCGGTGACGAGATGTTGCAAGTCGTCGGAACGCCTGTCAGCAACTCCTCGGAATCGCTACCTTCTGTGTTAGTTCCTACAACTAAACAGGTAACAAGAAAATTTATTACACATAACACAGCAGAGGTTCTCCTTCTTTCTCTGTAACTTTCCATATGCTTATCTTATTTACGTAATAATTTATCTGTTTGTTAGAAATATTTATTTTGTATATGAGAAAAGAGCCAAACATGTTGGGAGTCAAATTGTAATGTTTCAAAAAACATTACAATTTGACTCTTTAATCAGTAGAATTATCTCTCGCGTGAAAGAGAGAGAGATTACGTTTTATGTGCGCACTATATTTATCTGTTTATTGAAACACGACAATACGACGGCGTTTGGGCGCGGTGTTGAGCAAGAACGCGATCGGGAAGTCGCTTTTACGCTCCCTTTCGAGCGAGAATAAGAGGCGGCGCGGAGAGACACGGTCATATTTCGTCCCGTACATACAAAAATTCACACACATAACAAAGTTGCGCGTGGCAAGTCAAGAGATCGTGAGGGTGCGAGTCGAAGAGGTATGAGAAGACTTACATTTTCGTATCTGAGCTAAAACCAATTAAATTCTACTTAAGCTCAATCGATAGCTGAAGGCTCATTACGCAACAAAAAGCGTATCGTAAAAAGCGTTCGCTCCGCTTCGGATCTTGAATTCTTCACTCATCAGCCCAGTTGTTCGCATTAAACATTTTTATTTTACTCGAACTCTTATACTGTTATTTTTTTACAATATCTGAGTTGTTAATTTTTTTTTTTTTCTTACTTATTTTCAAGAGATAAGTTTTAGAAATTGAAGATGTTGTAGTTGTTACGCGACGTTAAATTCTAAAAACTTATCTTTTCAAAATAAGAAAAAATTAACGACTCAGATATTGTAACGCTCGCACTGGTGTGCGACTTGTTTGTGGCGCAGACGGTATTTTTACGCTTCTCTGCGCTGCGCAGTCACATGGTGTTCCACCGGGAAAGAAACCTTTGAGAGACACACCAGTAACCGAAAAAAAAAAAAAAAAAACAGCTAGAATAACAAGAGGCATCAAATTTTGGTGTTAGAAGAATCGTCACTTTTATGCGTGTGCTAAGACTATTGATTTATAATTTATTTTCCCAAAAAGTTTTCAAGAGACTGGACGCGAAGAAAAAAGAAAAAAATGACGTTGTTTATTCGCGACGATAAAACAACGCGCGAAACAAATGCGACGACGGCGATTAATCAAGCGATCCAAGTCTGCATTTCAATCGAAAATCACTTTCGCTCCAACGCATCTGTGCGTCATATCCAAAGTCGCAGTTTATTGTGTTCTTCGACTCACAATGTGTAGAAGTATAACTCCACGCACTTCAAAGAGAGTGAGAGGAAACACAAAGAAAAGTGTGTAAAGGATAACTTCAAAGAACATCGGTGTGTATCGCTTATTTATACAGAATATATAACCAGAGTCATCTTTCTCCTCGCTTCTGTCGCTACCTTTGAAGATCGAATTATCCGTTTTCCTTCTACAAGAATTATCACATTGTTAGTGCGTGAAAGACATTTATAATTTAATTCTCATTAGTGTATAAATTATTATAATGCTTTTTTTTTATTTATACCATCGTATCAGTGTCCGTGCCGCTCTCTCTCTCTCTCTCTTTTCGCTCAATAATATTCAATTAAAATTAAAACAGGCATTGGAAATTATGAGCCACTGGTGGTAAGTAATATTTAATTAGCGACATTAATAATTTTCTTGAGACATTTCGATCATTTGTCTCTTTTGATTGTCATCAGCCAATATCTGTACAAAAGTTTATCAAAACCATTTTTGTCTTTTTTTTTTTTTTAATAATTTTCATTTTCAATTTGTACGCAAGCAATTTACATTGCGCGCTAATAAAAACATGTCATAAAAATCATATCCGTCAGATTGGCAAATATTTTATCGTCAGGGTTTGTTATTTTGTTCACACCGGGTGAATTGTTCTTCGATACGCGTTCGTCGGCGTTTGCGTTTCGAATCGCGCGAGCGCTTTGGTTTTATCGCGTCAACCATTGTGTAATAGATCATAAACTCGTCCTACCTAACGGGTACACGGAGGACGGATGCTGTACGTGTGTTAGCTGTTAAACTCGAACCGTACGTATGCGCGCGAGGAGAGGAATGCAATTCGCGCAGATTCATTTTCAACTTTCAACGACGTGTTTCAACACATGCCGCATTATTGTCGCATTATTTTCAAAAGACCCGATGAGATTTCGACATTCAACATACGCAATGGTTTTTTTTTTCTTTATTCAATGAGAAATGCGATGGATTGTTTTTTATGAAGTTACGGAAAAAACTTGCGCGTCAATAAAAAGTCAAGAAAAGTGTAACTATGACGTAACACCACGTGGTATGCACTTCGATAATATCTCGCCCACCTCCCTGACAGTCATTTCTCTCACGACAATCGAGTGCGCGAGACGCCACGTTGGACTCATTGAACATGTTTTTTTTTTACACTCTATCTCTCTATCCGTCATTCTCTGTCATACGTAAATTTCTCTATAGATTTTTTTCTCTCACATTCAAGTGTACCGTGCGCTTTCATCTGGGACGTGAAAAATTGAAAGAAAAATGGAAAAGCGCATAAAATAAGGAAGCAAGAGCAAAACAATCCGGACTGTACCGGAGTAAACATCAGCGAGTGTCAAGCGTGTTGTCGCGCTGACGTCGGAAGGACAAGTAACGCGCAATCGACGAGAAAAAGAAAGGAATCATTACCAGAAAAGGGTCTGTAGCCGGCGAGGAACCTTGCTCGCCACCACTTTACCAATCCGGTAGCCATGGGATCTTCATGCGTGCGTGCGTGCGTTCCTTCCCTCGGTCGTCGTGCAAATCCTTTCTTCTTTCCCGTTTTGCTTGCTCCGAACCGACGGTTCTTCCTTTGCGAGCACTTCTGTTCGCTCTTCCGCACCCACTAACTGTACTCGCGCCGTTCCGAAACCGCACTGGATTATGTATCCATGATTCGTCTCTCTCCCTCTTTCTCTATGTGCATTCAGTCAGACGCCCAGCTGCGAACTCTCCCCGCGAACAGATCCTGTCCCCGGCACCGCGGTCGATCTGCCGCTCTCCGCGATCCGGAAACGGCGCGAGACACTCTTCGAGGGTCGTCTTCGACGCTCCGTGTATCATTGAAATTCCCGAACGAGGGTCACAACTCGCGCGTATGTAATGTACACACGCGTCGTATATATACAACACAGGATCGCCGCCCGCTTCCGCCGTCGCGCACTGTACACACGTGCTCTCTCGTGACGGAGAGCCCGCCGTCGAGCAAAACTTGAACGACGAGAGAGAAAGAGAAAGATAACCGTTTTATACAACTTCAATCTCTCTCTCTCACGACATTTCTCCGGAATCGCCGCGCGATGACGATTCCGCCGATGGAAGGACCCCGTGTTCTCGTCGCTTGTGCATCGGAGCTTAAGCGAGAGAGATGACAACCAGGAAGGAGGGAGGGGAGAGAGAGAGAGAGAGAGAGAGAGATGCGAGATATAACACACGGTTCTCTCCCGCAGGTAAAACGAACACACAACACACCCGGTTACGTGGTTCGAACGCGACTACGAACGCTCGTCTCGTCTAAAAAGCACGTTCCCCGTAATTCCCCTGCCCACGACGCGCGGCGTACCACCACCATCGCCGTTGGCGCGGCACCATCGCCGCCGCAGCAGCCACCACCATACCAACCACGCGGGCCGGTCAGGCAGGCGAAGCACAGACAGCTCTTCGGCTCGTCGGTCGGCTCAGTGCCGAGCTGAGGATACGAGGACCCCGAAGGTAAGAAGGCGACGCGGGCCGGCGACTCTCCTTCAACCTTCTCCGCGGGCTTCGCTTATTTTCTCCTTCTCCTTTGCATACTCATTTGCCAGAGAGCGAGAGCGCCGCGTGCTCCTCCGGAAAGAGGAGCCTGCCAATGTAAAATCCGACTTGTATGACCTAGAATTGCGAGAACTGCGTAAAGAGATCTAACATTGAAACATATGCATATTCAGATTGGAAATTGAATAAATGTCAGTTTGTTGATGTATCATTTTTGTAAGTTAAATCCTACACGGAGCAAACTAATTGGAGAAGAATCGCTTCGATTAATCAACGTTCTGCGTCGCTCAACTCTTTTCAATTCGATCGCGTTTGTTTTATTCAAATTCGATGTAAATTTTCTTTTATTTTTTTATCGAAATATGTTTGCGCGAATATAAACAAAAGCGTTCTCTGTGCGCGCAAAATCGCGCGGCGATTCAACTTAATTGCGGATGACATCATCGAAAAGAAACTCTCGAAAAACTTTCGGCCTATTTTCGCCCGGAATCGATATAATATTCCCTCGCCATTGAATCACTTTGGTGTTTACGTCGACGGCACGCACGTCATCGTTCACAAACGTACCACCGGGTTGTGTTTGGATGCTTCAATGAATCCTCGCGTCAGAGATACGCGAAGATACGCGAGGAGGCGGCAGAAAAGGAGGTGAGAGGAGGGCACACAGGCACATTGAAGAGAGAGAGAGAGAGAGAGAGAGAAAAGCGTTCCAATTTCACATTTCTCTCACGCTAAAAAGACATTCTTTATTTACAATTTGTGAAAATATACATATACATATACGTATATATACACACTATATATATATATACATATACATATATGTATGTACATATATATGTACTTTATACATATATTGTATACATATGTACATTGTATATATATATATATGTTTGTACATATATGTATATATATATATATATGTGTGTGTGTGTGTGTGTATACTATGCTAAAAAGTGCTGCGCAGTTCTACTCGGAAAGACCGCCTCAAATCAGAAATACTCTTTTTAGAGACTGTACCTGCACGCTATTATCTCCTCTAGCGGTGTTTCAGAAGAAACATAGGCGTCACCACCAAAGAAACGTCGTTTCCACAAATGGCAATGCCTCTCCATCTCTTGTTTCCACTGCCAGTTTTTTAATCATTTTTCTTCGTCAATCTTTTTAATTCTCTGAACGAGAAAAAATAGATTTTCTTGTCTCCGTCAAATTATTCGAACGCTCGATAATGTTCTCAAGACGAAGTAATAAAATCTGAAAAATAAATTAATTTACATGAAGCGTGTTTTTTGCCCCGCAATTTATCTCGATAAAAAAAAATACATTACTCTCTGGAAATAAATTTGCTGTGACATTAAATACGGGACTCGCTTTCATTTTCTTTGTCGTGAGAGAAATCGGTTCTCTGCTCGAGAAACACGCTGAAAGAAAAATTAATATACCTGTTAAAAATTGAAAGTACCTTTTCAAGTTTTGGTGTTTTTATCGCGATAATAAATTTACACGCGGGACACAGTGTGAGATCGTGAATTACGATGTGGATTTCGACGAGAGGAGAGAAACGTTCGTAAAACAAACGTTCCGCGAAACTTCGAAATTTTCTATTTTGCTAAGCGAGTTCCGTGATGACGACGCCTCTGGTCGGGCCGGCCGGCCCGAAGAGCATCCCTCTCGTATATACTCTCCACACATAAAGGTTCCTCTACCCGTCATACCACGGTCGTGGCGTGCTGTGCTGTGCTGTGCGCCATGCCGTGTTGTGCCGCCGTTGCGGTATGGTTTGCCGTGCCATCCTCAGCCGCGTAGCGTGGCTAGTTGTTTCTTTTCTTTATTCCTTTGTCGGAAAGTCGGCAGCAAGTCTCGTTTTTAAGAGGCGGCAGAGAGAGGATCGGCGGAAAGAGAAAGAGAGAAAGAAGGAGAAAGAGCGCATGAAGCGACGAGGAGAGGGGAAAGAACGGTGGCATTGCGAGGGGAGGACAGAGGCAAAAAGGAAACGATGGCTACCTTAAAAGCGGGGGTTGTGAGGAGGGAGGGAATGAGAGTTTGGTACTGACGAGGTAGGAGAGAGAGAAAGAGAAAGAAGGAAACACCGTTCGGCAGTAAGGGGGAATATAAAACGCGAGGCTCAAAAACACCGGGGTATAGACCGGCCTCAAAATAACGCTGTGGGAGAAGTCTCTTTTTTTTTCTTTTTTTTTTTTTTCACTCTCTTTCTATCTTTCTCTGTGAATTCGAGTCATCTATTAATAATAAACTATTTTCAGAGACGCGTGCACATAGTACACGCCGGCTCAAGAACGCTCAATTGCTGCGTTCTCTCTCATTTTTTAATCTTCCAAATAAACATGAGAATTATTCTCGTCCGTGAACATTGTGAAAATAGAATCTAGTAACGATTTTTATTCGTTTGGTCATAAAAAAAAGAATCTACGTACACGCGTTATACATATGTTCTTCCGTCGCTAATTGAAACAAGACTGAAGTTCGCGCATACCGAACCCGTCGTGAAGTTTGAGGCAGGTCGGCCGGTACGACATTCGGTCTGAATGTCGTGCGCGCGATTGCGTCAATTAGACGACACAACAGTGACCAAAAGGACGGGATAAATATTTATATATAACACGAGGGAGAATGAGAGACGCAGGATATACAGCTAGGATACAGGCCGTAATACGGTTTTATCGCGCGAGCGAGCGCAGAAAAGAACGACGACTCTCGTAGCTCTCGGTCGACCATCCGGCGTCGGTCGGTTTTGCTGGACTCTCGGCGTGGCTGCTGCTGGACGATACTGACAGGGAAAAAGAGAGAGAGAAAGAGAGGCATAGACCGTGACAGAGAGGTCAGGGCGGAGGAACGAATGAACGGTGGAGTCTTGATCGTGTTACGGCGCGGAGAAAAGGAGGAAGCGGTCGGCGCGTTTGATCTCGGCCGCGGGCGCCGACAAAGCATTCGTCCACTCTCTTACAACGAGCGAGCTGTGCCGTGAGAGCGGGAGTGAGAGCGGTGACTGTATACAGAGAAAGAGAGAGAAAGAAAGGGAAGAAAAAGAGAGAAAGAGCCTGAACGGACAAGCAACCGGTCGCAAGTGCAAGAAAGACGGAAAGCGGAAAGAAGAGGGAGAGAAGAAGAGAGAGAAGCACAAACGAACGGTGCGGCAGAAGAACCGCGTGGCGAATGAGGAGGGTGAAACCCACAGAGTAGCGGGGAAGAGAGAGGACTAAAGTGAAAGAGAGAGAAAAGGAAAAGAAGAAAGATCGCGCGAGCGGTTACCTCGCCGAGAAAGAGAGAGAGAGAGAGAGAAAGAACGAGCGAACGAACGAGCGAGCAAGATAACACGACGAGATCTGTTCCACGATTCATCGCGCTGTTGCGCTCGCTCTAGTGTGGCGCTTTGCGCCACTCCCTCGTGGAAACGGTCACACAAACACGCTCGCACACCATAAAACGAGCGCGCGTACACACCATCGGGTTTGCTATTAATAAATAATGCTCGCTATGTGTGTGTACTCCGTATTATACTAAAATTCCTTCTTCGTCTGTCGTCGCCGTTGTCATCGCAAAAGACGTATTCCCGATCTCGACCGCTTCGTGAACTCCGGCCTCTTCTCTTTCTTGTGTCCCCGACCGACATGACGGACACGCGGTCTGTCACCGTCGGAGGTAGGCATTCTGTCGGCGATTTCTTCTACCGCGCGTAGGTCTTGTGCGCGTTTCCTTAGGATCGCTGCGCAAAAGAGAAACGCGTCAATTATTTCACGTCCAAAAAAAACCTTGTACCACAGAAAAAGAAGAAAGAGACAAAACGAACTCCCGGAATTGACGATAAGTGTTCGCAGCTTGAATTATATAATTAAACAACAACAGAATATTATTTACTTTCACAATAAATAAATGATACTTTATATTTTATAAAACTCAGTGGACGATTTAAAAATTTGGATATAATTCGTATATATATGTAATTATTGATAAGATATTGAATAAAATACAATATTTAACGTGCGTGTTCAAACAAAATTTCCGCGATCGATGATCTGACAATAGTCGTTTGACGCATATGACATATACTTAAAACGATAAGGGGACCTTTGAAGAGAGTGTCTCTTTGGTTTCTGAGCTCAATAAACCGACAAAAGCGGCCGCCACGCATTATAAATTACGACGTTCATTAGGGAGGCAATAGTTGTGCACGGTAATACGATGCATTAAAACCTCAAAGCTCGTGCGTGACGCGTATATCAAGACAACAACAGCAAACAAAAAAAAAAAAAAAAAAAAAGAAAAAAAGAAATAAAGAGATACACAAAAAGACTTGGGAATTAATGCGGAGGATGACTCGAATCTGGCTTCGCGTCGAAAGTAATCGGCAAGGGAAAAGGAGGAGGAAGGAGAATCGACGATAAAGTCCGCNNTANCGGTTGTGAAAAATCCAAAATACGTANANANAANAAAAAAAAAAAAAAAAAAAAACGTAGTATTTAAACGACCACCCTACTTGACGAGAATGTGTTTCTGTTCATTGACGACTTCGCGTTTCGTTTTTTTTCCTCGATGCGCGGAGCACGATCGGTATAAAGACTTGGATCGTTGCCCAGTAGAAGAAGACAAATAGAACGACGCTAAAAATTTTACTTTTAAAACACAATTTTACTTTTAAAAAGCACCTAAAATATTTTGCCTAATGTGCGCGCATACATAATTTAAAAATACTCGAATATCTTATTACACAAATTTAATGTAAAAAGCTGAACAAAACAAACAGATATTATAATTCTCTACAATAAATTTGTAGAGATGTAAGATTTTATTGCAAAAAAAAAAGTTGCGATTTCGAGAGGATGAAATGGAACTGAAAAAACTTGAGTTTTACTTCTTCTCCCTCCTTTTCTTAAAAAAACATGCTGAAAGGCAATATACTCACGTTTGTAAAATCTGTTCCGAAGACGAATGTGAGTGCAACTAGAAGTTCCTTGTCGTCTCAAAGAATGCCGCTTCTGTTACGGTAATTCGTTCCGGTGGTACCATCTAGCTGGAAATGTTGGAATTGTTACCTGGCCTTACCCGCTTCTTTGAATGCGCCGCCGTCTCGAACTCGCTTCGAGTTTAATAATGCGACCCGAAAGTTTTCTACGGCGATCATTACACTGTGCAGAAAAAAAAATCGCGGACATCTTAGAATAATGACACAGAAATTACAGATAACGGTTTATCGCGCAAATCTCTTGTCTTCATAAATTATTCTTTAAAAAGTATTTATAAATATATTGAGAAAAATACATTAAAAAATTGTAAAATAAAACTAAAAAATTAAAATTAATAGTAAAACCCAAGTTTTAAATTTGATAAGAAATTCACACTATGGTATATGTCTGTTTATAAGTTTATAAAAAAAATTAATCTTTCTCGTAAGTTTATATCATTACTCATTCTGAAGTAAGAGAGAATAAGCGCAAGAATATAATGATTGATAAACTGATATATGCAAAATTTCTTTATCAGTTTTTAGAAATCGATTAGACGTCAATAGATTTCCAAGAGTTCATCGAAAACTGGCTGTTAAGGAAAAATGCGGCGTATTTAACGTGACATTCATTGACCTTTCGTAGGTTGAGCATGCGGCGACGATGAACCGTGTGTGTATGTGTGAGTGTGTGTGTGTGACATAAATTACAATAATTCTTCACGGCGGCCGCCGGCTCGTACATCCTGTAATTCGATGCTTAATGATAGCGGCAGCAGCCGCCGCGCAAAATCGCGTAACTTTAAGGTGCTCGACAACTCGATCAAGATTCCAAACCGGTATTACGGACGAAAATCGTCGAAGGAAGCCTACTCGCCGAATAACACGACGTCGCTTCGCCTAAATCGGTCTTGACTACGTTTCATATTCGTATGTGTATATATTACAACACTGTAAAACTTAAAAAAAATTCTCATACCTCACGTTGTGTTAATTGATTCACTTCGACGTGGCGGTCGAGGCCGCGAAGATGTGCGTGTAAAGTTCACTATATAAGGAATCGTCGAATCGCTGAGTTGATGACTAGCTTTTGACCGTTATCGAAGGTACGGTGGTTTTTCCCGTTTGAACGTGTCTTTCTGTTGTTTCCTCATTCGTTTTTGTACTTACTATCGTAAGTAAAACGTATGTACTCGGAGAATTTCGTGATCAATCTGTAAATTAAAAACACTTGCATCGTTAGATTGTGTGTGCAATTGTTACAACAAATATTGTAAGATAGACAGAGGAAAGGTATGATCAAATTTATCAAACTTGTGTATTTTACTCATGTTTTGTGTGTTGCTCTGTGTGTGTAACATAATGTTTGATTTTGTTACGAATAGTATAAAAAATGAAAATACTTTTAATTACGCTGTTATTATTCATCGCGCTGGGAGCTAAAGCCGAATGGCGGCCACATCGGGGCTTCGGTTTTGGAAGAGGAAGAGGACCTCCATGGGGATATCCGCAACAGAATCAAATCAATATCAATTCCGAAGGAATCGAGTGGGTGTGCCAAAACCCAAAGACCAATGACATAGTTACGTCGTATATAAAAAAAAAAAAAAAAAAAAATCATGTCCAAAAAATATCACAAATAAATCGCAAAATTGTTTAACTTTTATCACTTCGATTTTTAGATGATCATTGCTTCTGACGATACGCCGCAACAACAGCCGCAACAGCCTCAACATCCCGGCAGAGGCCCGTGGTGGCAATGGCAATCCCAGCCACCTGGACATCAGAATCATCACCAACAGCAAGATGGTAATCACTGGACTGTCATTACAAAAGATCCTACACGAGAGGGAACTCACAACCAGTTTCCAAAGATACCCGAAATTCCTAATAACAACCATCAATCGGAAACCACGCCGCATTATCACGGCGGAGAAGGATTAATCGATATTAGAATGGGAGAATAAATATCAAGACAAAGATTACAAATGTCAAAATTTAAAGGTTTTGATGTGTTTTATATATATATATATACTTATCGAAAAGAAATTGACTTGAAACTTCCGAACAAAGAAAAATTTTATGCAAAATTCTATACCGAAGATGCGTACTTTGTACCTACCATTTATTGTATAACATTCAACGACTAGCTTACATCAAATAAATAATGATGCGATAATAAATCTGAACAATAAATATTATTATAATATAGTCGTGAGAGTGTCATCTCTCTATATTATATTAAGCATCGTGGACGATCGAGTCTCGGAATTCACAGATAATATTGTAACGTATATATAGCGAAGAGAAAATTTATGAAAATACTTTTCGAACTTTACATAAAATTTATCGAATAAAATTCAACACACATAGAATTTACTTTATTACTTTAAACATACGTGAGAGACTTGCTTATTGAGAAAAGGAATCTTTATGACACGATATCACGTTGTATTGCACATTATCGACATAGAAATATACAGCCGAAACGCACACAATTGTTGCGAGATGTGAAAGGTTAGCAGTAAAGACAAGACACAGCCACACGGTGATTATGTGTTTTCTTTTTATCTCTAATCGTCAAAAAAATATCCTTTTTCCAAAATAATTGTTTACGTTCCGTCCGTGTATTTCTGCGTCGAAGTCACATATACCGTCGTATTTATTTCAATGCGACTTACACAAAATGCACTTAAAAGTTTCTAAAATCTGAGGATCTCTGTACGCTATCAAACCTAAACGATTGGAAAAATTCGTGCCTATTGGCAAATAATTCACGCTCAGATTGTCCGAGTGTGGATTCACGACAAACTCTTTGAACTCGATTATTCCGCCGCCTACGGACGACAGAAGAGCCTGCGGCCCGCATGTGTCCCACTTGTACGTCGAGCCCCTCGACAAAATGTAAGCGGCCACTTGTCCGAGAGCGACGCTCAGTATTTTGTACCCAGCTCCAGTCGCTTCTAGCAGTCGGAATCCGCTGTTCACAAGCTTCGACTTTACGTCCGCGTCTTCGAAGCGACTGATCAAGACGATTTTGTCCTCGGTTTTACCCGTGATATTTATGGAAGACTTGCTTATCCCACCTCCCACGAAACCCCAGTAACACTTCCCCGTCCACCTGTTGTACATAAAATAATCAGTGTGTAATTAATATATTGAATAAATCTCGGAAGATCAAAGACAAAGGGGAGAAACAGCCGGTAAATAAACCCGTCAAGATATTTCCAGAAATTTATATTTTAAACTTAAAAAAAAAAAAAAATGTACGATGTTATTTTGCTTACTGCGAGTCCACATTGGTGCAAAAAGGCTGGTTAACTACACCCAAAATCGGCACTCCTGTACTTTTCTTATACGCTCCGATTAATACAGAGACGCAACGTAAACCGCTTAAATGCAAGCCAGTCTGCTCGTCCACCATCTCCATTGCGTGTATGTAATCTGCTGTTGAATCTACAAAAGTTCCACAGGAATTGCTCCACAGGCATGCATTATCAAACTACAAAACAAACAGAAATTCTTACAAAGCGTTGAGTCTCAGTTTATAGGCCAATTATGATTCTTAGTAACAAGAGTCTTAGTTTTTACCACAATACTGTTTCCAACTGTTTTCACTCTCGCCTCTCGGACTGACGTAAATTTATTGAAATACCAACTTCAAAATACACATATGTAATCTGAAATTACATTCATTGTGGATTTTTTACTTACCGATTGGATCTATCCAAATACCGAGATCATCCACATTGATGTCAAAATCATTAGGAATATCTAACTCAACTGGCACATCCGAGAGCTGAACGTCCTTGTGAACTTCAGCAGCGAGCAATTCAGCTGCTACTGCATCGTTGCCCATAACTTTAGTTAACAGCTGTGCTGTGTCCTCGCTGCATGAACAGACATCCACGATAATAGACTCTCCCAAAGTATTACTGAAGACATTAGTTTCTTCGCCTTGAACTAGCTTGGCCAACTCTGGAAACTACAAGAAAAATAAACCTTTCAGAAATAGTACTATTTTTATAAAATTTATTACAAACATTTCGTTCTTACTTCAACTTCGATGTCGTGTCTGATGGTTTCCTGAATGAGAACGTCAGCTAACGTCTTGAAATCCTGAAAGAAACGAGGATTCTTTTCTTCCAGGGATTTTTCTTGTACCAGCAACTGAAATAGCGCTTCCTTCTGGCGACAAGTTCTCGCAATGTTTGCTGCCTTCTCTGAGGCTTGCAGGAGGACTTTTAACAATTTGCTACCACTTCCCATATTTTTTTTCTACAATATATATATATATATCTACAATAAAAATAAATACATCAAAGAAGTGTGAAAAATTTTTATTGATTATCAGTACAGCTGATACTGTTGTCATATATTTATTGAAAAAAGATTTGAAGAAGACTTGTGTGTGCACACACACACTTAGACAAGAAATCTTACAAGCTCTATTGGATAAAAATTAAATTAATTATTGATTTTCTCTATAAATATACATATGTATAAAACATCCTTCTGTGTTAAACAATATCTTTGGAAAATTTATTAAGAATTATAAATTTCTCTTATCAATCAAACGCGCAATAAGCGGACGAACCAAAGGCTGTAGAAAAAAGAAAAATGTAAAAACCGAAGCGCACAAGTATGATGTACAAGTATATTTTATAAAGCACAATTAAAAAAAATTTCTGATTTTAAGCGGAAGAACTGCATCAAGAAATCTATTCCCCGGTGGTGCGAGTATTTGTAAGTTCAAAACTTTTCAAACGCGTGATCGCGAAATATTTGTTTACACACGCCGCTCACGAACAAGCTGTCGCTAAGAATCAAGAGATAGATCATTTCACACCCGAACACTCACAAATTCTTACCTAATTTAATAAATAAAACTCACACAACAAGGTTGCGCGCGAAAGAGCTCTAGCCCGTGATGATTATTTTCTCTCCATTTCTCTCTCCTATGCAAGTGACGAACGCATGCGTACGTCCAACCTGTGTGTTTTATCCACATCTGCGCCGCGATGCGCACTTTTTGCGCGGACTTTTTGGACCACACGCAGTAGCCGTGTTTTGTTACGCAAACCGATCCAGCAAATAAAAAAAAAACTGCGTTTGTTTATTCTCTCAAGATTACAAATATATATCTTGTTTTATATTTACGTTTATCTCCAGAGACATTTCGCATCTTAAGATCAACTTGAGACGATTTTGAATATGTAATTAAATTATATAATAATAATAATAATAATAATAATAATAATAATAATAATAATACATAGCCCGGAACTGAACCATAACTCTTTTATCGACCGGACTGGTTCACCGGTTCGAAGTTTGGCCGCGCAATCAACAGCGCTCGAGAAAACGGAAACTCGTCTTCTCTCTCTCCTGTCTCTTCCATCGTTGAGATTGTGGGTTGTGTTTCCTCTTTGCCATCTTGTTCGTCGCGAGCGACGGTAAGTATCTTGATGTAGTTTTTATGTAAAAAAATTTATAGCGACAGAGACCAGGCTCGACGTTGTTGCGTTTGTTCTCGCATTCCGTCCCGTTGATTTTATTTTCGATTCGTCGCGTTTTGCACCGAGCAATTTTCCGATCGCATACGCGCGAGGTATCGACGATTCCGACGCGGTCTGACACGTGCCTTTCCTCCACGCAATTACGCGCTTACGTTAACGCAACGCGATATCGGCACAGCTTGCCGCAGTGATTTAGGTTGCGCTTTGTCCGCATTTGACGAAGACAACGTTTGAGTTGAATAATATCTGCCGGGGATAAATTTATTTTTTTCTTTTTTTTTTATTGATAGACACACCGTGTGTCGCGTGAGTGGCTACCATTTTCTGTTTTAACCTCCAATTTGTCGCGAGACTCGGCTGTCGGCCCAACAAAATTCTTGATTCCCGTTGGAAAAACAAGGTAGGTGTGTTATATCTAATATCTTCGAAATTATTGTACAAGAGAAATCTGAATATATATATATATATATAAGTATATGTAATAAATTATTGAGGTTTGTATCAAGTTTATATTCAAGCAACAATTTTTTTTTTCAGGAAGAGAATCCTTCTATACCGTAGAACAAAGATTCGCACGAAAAAATGCCACAGAACGAATATATCGAGAGGCACCGTAAGCTCTACGGTCGCCGTTTGGATTATGAGGAAAGAAAGAGGAAAAGGGAAGCTCGCGCCCCGCACAAACGAGCCGAACAAGCCCGCAAGTTGCGCGGTCTGAAGGCCAAGATGTTCAACAAAGAACGACGGAATGAGAAGATTCAAATGAAGAAGAAAATCAAATCTCACGAGGAGAAGAAAGTCAAAGAAAAAGTTGACAAGCTGCCGGAAGGAGCGTTGCCTGTTTATCTGCTGGATCGTGATATCACCAAGCGCTCGAAAGTACTGTCCAATATGATAAAGCAGAAGCGGAAAGAAAAAATTGGCAAATGGGACGTTCCCATTCCCAAGATCAAAGCGCTTTCGGAATCCGAAGTTTTCAAAGTAGTGAGGAGCGGAAAGTCGAGGCGAAAGGCTTGGAAGCGAATGCTGACCAAGGTGACGTTTGTCGGAGAGAATTTTACAAGAAAACCACCGAAGTTCGAAAGATTCATCAGACCGATGGCGCTGCGATTTAAAAACGCGCATGTTACTCATCCCGAGTTGAAAGCAACGTTTTCTCTGCCATTAATTGGGGTCAAAAGAAATCCGAGCTCGCCTATGTACACGAGTTTAGGCGTAATCACGAAGGGAACCATTATCGAAGTGAACATCTCGGAATTGGGTCTCGTGACGCAATCGGGCAAAGTTGTGTGGGGAAAATACGCGCAAGTTACGAATCATCCGGAAAATGACGGATGCATTAATGCAGTTTTGCTAGTATAGATTGGCAATTGTTGTTTACTCACTGATATTATAATTTATATGTTGATTGTACACCGACAAGTTCTTGGAAATAAACAGATTCGCATATGAAAGTTTGTGTTTAATTTAAAGTTATTCCTTAATTTTTCCTTTTAATGATTTTTAATATGTGTTCAAAACAATTTAGAGAAAAATATTTTAATTTCGATATTACAATTTTATTTGTTCGTTTGTAGAATTTTTTTTAATCTCTAATTTTGTTAAGAATAAGTTTTCTGTACGGATAAAGAAAACTTTTTTTTAAGCGAGTGTTTCTAGCGCAATGTTTAGAAATTTGTAGATAATAAAATTTACATGTTTAATTTTTTGATTAACTGAAAGCAATGTTTGCTATGTTACAGAAAATTGATCATCATGCAGATTTTTGTGAAAACTCTCACGGGTAAGACCATTACCCTCGAGGTTGAAGCATCGGATACAATCGAAAATGTGAAGGCCAAAATTCAGGATAAAGAAGGTGAGAGAAAAAAATCTTGGAATATTCCAGAGAGAGTAGTTTTATTTCTTTTTATTTGTTTCAGTTTTTTTTTTTTTGAAAATATTTGGAAAAAAACGAATAAGCGAGACGTATTGTCGTGTTTCAGGAATTCCACCTGATCAGCAAAGATTGATCTTCGCTGGAAAGCAGTTGGAGGACGGCAGGACTCTGTCGGACTACAATATACAGAAGGAGTCTACTTTGCATTTGGTTCTGCGCTTGCGAGGCGGCGCCAAGAAGCGCAAGAAGAAGAACTATTCGACACCTAAGAAGATCAAGCATAAGAAGAAGAAGGTCAAGTTGGCTGTACTCAAATACTACAAGGTAACGATTTCTTTCTTCGTTACTTTTGGCTACTTTCGAGGATTCTTTCGAAATGTTCGTATTTTAATAACGTTCGAAAAAAAATGTTTTGCAGGTGGATGAGAACGGAAAAATTCACCGCTTGAGGAGGGAATGCCCTTCGGAGCAATGCGGCGCGGGTGTATTTATGGCCGCGATGGAAGACCGCCATTATTGCGGCAAGTGTGGATTTACACTTGTATTTAACAAACCTGAAGAAAAATAATAAATTTCTGATGTACATGTACATATATATAATTTGTTTTTTTTTCTTATGTCGATAACAAAAGTCTGCGGTAGTGCCGTTACCGGCAGTGATACGGAAGTGATTCACCGCCTGATACGACACTTCTTTCCTAACCCTAAAAAGTCGCCGACAGTCTTGTAAGATGTTGGGTAAACAAATTGCTTTTACATGATGAACGTTGAATAATAAATATGTCGCACGAGAGTTTATTTCGGTGAGAAATCCTTTCAAAAATCCTGATTCAATTCCTTTGCCAGACTGCTGTTTGTCACGACCGGTGCTATTTTGTACATAAACATTGCGCAAAGCAGGTATTTTGTGATAAACAAACAACAATAAATATTTTGTGCTGAGTATAAATAAGATAAATATGGCTGGTCTGCATTTAATACAAACGTATTCCTCCGATTCGGAGGACGAAGAAGATAGCGAAAAGGATAAAACCAACAATGATATAAACAAGTACACAATTTTATCATATATTTTGATTGTTGACGTGACACTAAAGTTATGTGAAGTAGAGGAATTTGTTTTATATCTTTTTCATATATATAGTATTATAATATTGTATATATTTTCTAAAAAAATAACCTAGACTGGCTCTACCTGCAAGTATTTCAACATGGAAAGGAGTTGCACATCACGATGAAATAATTGACGATCCTTTGAGTCACGACGGACGAATACGAAGTTTCAAACACGAGCGTGGCAATTGGGCAACTTTGGTTTATATAAATTGTAAATACATATAATCTTTATATCTCAGTACATATTTTTTTACATCAAATAATTATTGCAGGATTTTACAAGATGATGTAATCGCAAAAATTCAAATTTTAATTTTAGATATAGCCAGTGACTCTCTTTACACTTGGATGAAGTCTGTGATAAATGATCTGCCAGTTCAGGGCGACATTATTCCAAGTTTTCACATTAGTCTTAGTCGTACTTTGATATTGAAGTATCATTGGATTGAATCGTTTGTAGACAGCCTCAAGCTGTTGTGTCGCGGATTTAATTCATTTGTTATGCAACTTACAGACGTGAAAGTATATTGTAACGAAGAAAAAACTCGAACGTTTCTTGGAATTTATTGTCACAACGAGGATGGGGTTTTGAAGTGTCTGTTAGAAGCTGTTGACAGTTTGTTAGCTGAATATCAATTGCCACCGTTTTACAAGGTACAAAATAGATTGTCTTTATTGTAAATCTTAAATCACATGTTGTTTGATATGGTAACAAATTGTTTTGTACAGGATAGTTCATATCATATTAGCTTCTTCTGGTGTCTTGGAGACGAGCGAACGTGTCTAAGAAAAGTTCTACCATCTGTAACCAGCAGTTTAAATAAATTTTTGGCAGAGAATGTGGAGGATAGTTATGTACAAATCGATGAAGTACAATGCAAGATTGGAAATAAATATTATACTTTCCAGTTAAGATAATAACAAATTATCTGTAAGTTAAACTATTAATTAAAATTTATTTTAAATTATTCAAGGAAAACTAAGACCGATTATTGTTCTAGCTTTATTTTTAAAATCTAATTATTGTCGTAAAAAACATGTGTTTCCATTCATACAAAAGATATCGTTTCTAGAAAATAAATCTAGTGTATCAATATATACATATATACATTACATTTTTTATGGATATTGTTATCCGCAGAAAGACATCGGTTTAAAAATCGCTAACTTATGAGGCAGTTTCGTTACAATTCCTGTACCGCGCCACAGTTTAATCCACGAATCACACAAATCGGGTTCTACGCTAGCCACTAATGTGCAAATTTCTGGACTATGTATGACTAATCCCGCTTCTGGATTACTTGCAATACATTCACAACCCGTAACATCGATGTGAGTCAATGTTGGATGACGGCTCAGCAACATGTTCACAGACAACAAAGATACACTTGTATTTCCACGAAGTGTTAATTTCGACAGTCTAGGCAGCTGCGTTAAAATAATTTTCACATCGTCGTCTGTTATGTCACAGAACGAGAGATCTAAAAATTCTAAACTCGGTGACAGAGTTATATTCAAACTGGAAATAAACTGATTGGAAGACAGAGTATTGGATAAATTCAGGTCGAACAGTTGTTTGCTCAAAATAGAACTCGTTGTATCCCGGCTCAGTTTGTTCCACGAAATATCGTAACTCGTTAAATTTGGATTGCCAGATGGAAAACAAAAATCGTCCAACTGGCAGTAACGTAAATTAAGAGTTTGCAAGAATCTCAAAGGCGCAATTAGCGTTCGAAGGGTGTCGCAACTCTTTGAAGTCAGTGGATTGTAACTCAGATCCAAGATCCGTAACTGAGGTGGCAACGAGTTGATTTTGCGCAAACAAGCTGAGTCAATGTCGCAGCCTTTCAGATAGAGCTCTTGCAGAAACGAGAGGTTCGACAGACATCGATACAAATTCGTTCCCGCTTTTAGCAATACGATGTCGGACAATTGCAGCAGCTTGATGTTCTTTTCGTATTCTAAAGTTTTCAACAACGATACGAGTATCTCTTCGCTGATATCGTCGGGTTTCGCGCGAAATATTGACGTGTTCTCGCAGGATTTCAAACACTTCAACATACTGTCGCAGGGAGTTAAATTACAGGTGCGACAGATAGTTTTGTATCTCTCGACAATAGGCGGTATCTGTAATTCAACTATTTCGCATTCTAATCTGTCATTCATTTCACTCGCAATGTTTACAATGTAATCTCTTGTCACGATGTTTCCATTTGTTGGTCGCAACTGTAATTTAACCGTACAACCGGTTTCATCGAAGAACTTGCTTTCGACGGCTGACGTGACGCGTGATAAAAATTCCTTCTCGTCCTCGCAAACTGCTACCTTTACATCAAGTGCCGTGTCTTTGACGAGTATGTGTAAATTTACATGTTCTTTGTTGTACTGTTTGGAATTTGCGATATGCAAAACGGACGGAGATGGTGTGCGCGACTTGGTGAATCCACTCGTCAACAAAGATGTTTGTTGTTTTCTTTTAGTTCTTGTGGGTTCTTCAGCAAACGAAGCAGTTTCGATGATAGCGCTGTCATAACTGTCATCACTAATAAAAATATTCTCTGTGCTATTGGAAAAGCTGTTGTTTCGTTTCATCTTCTTCGCGGCGTTCTCTGTACTTCCATCTGCGGATTTTCTTTTCGTCGTAACGCCATGAGAGTTCGAGGTGGATTTCTTCTCCATGTTCTCGTCCGCGGATCTTCTCTTCGTTGTGATACCGTGAACGTTCGAGGCAGATTTTTTCTTCGTTGTGATCCCAATGTCGTCCTCGAGCCAGTCATCGATTAGAACTTGCTCCTCGTTCACTAAAAAAGGAAGTGCGATTGCATCGTCGCTTTTAAACCGAGAGACCGGCTTGGTCTTGTTGAAAGTTCTTAGATGCGCTATCGTTCTCTTGTAATCTTCACCGGCAGATATTTCTCGAACCTCAGAAGACTTTTTGTCCAACGTCCGGACACCGTCGTATTTTTTCTTCTTCCTTTTCGTTAAGATAACAGCAGAAAGCTTTTTATGCATTATATCATATTCCGCCAGGTCTTCGGGATTTAAGTCTTCTACGCGATCTCTCCAGTCTTCCAAATAATCGAGCACCGTGTCGCCGTCATGAGTTTTAAGCGTCACGTCTGCTCCGTGCTCCATCAGAAGATTCATCACTGAAAAATGTCCGCACAACGCTGCGTCGTGAAGAGGCGTCATGCCCCTGCAAGGTACATTGTCGTTTATGTTCGCGCCAGACTTGATAAGCAACTCCGCGATATCCACATAACCGTAATTCGCAGCCTCGTGAAGGGGAGACCAACCGGCGTTGTCTCGAACATTTACGGGGTGACCGGACGACAAAAGTCTCTGAACCGTGTTAATATCGCCGTTAATACACGCTACTTGTAGTTGCGTTTCGCCTTTTTCATTCTTCTTCAAAATGGATGGTCTCTTTGTTCGCCTCTTGGTTACACTACTCGTTCCCTTGGTGTTTTCTTCCAGATCGGACAAATCTTCGAGACAGATATCCGCACCGATTGTGTCGCTTTCTTCGAACGACGTCTCGCTTTCCGTATCGCTCAGTTCTTCCAATCCCGCTTCCTCTCTTACATCTTTCGCCTCATTGAAATTGTTTATATTTTCCAAATAGATAACGAAATCTTTCGTAACAGATTTTTGCAACTTAATACTGTTGCTTTCCTTGGCTGAAGCGAGCGCTAAGGTATAATAGTTTCGAATCTCTTGGTCAGATGCGTTTGTCGTTATCAGCAAATCCGCTAGAAATAATGCCGATCTGCATCTCTCTTGAGGACTCGTGCAAAGTTCGAATTCTCTTTGTGCGTAAGTCAGCGCTTCTTTGTGCCGTCCCGCATCCTTGAGCGTTTGCGCTAAGCTTTCCAAAGAGATACCTATTTGATCGCCCGTTTTTTCCGCGCAAATCAACATTTGACGATAATATTCCACAGCTTTGTCAAAGCATTGCGCGGCGACTGCTGCGTCCCCTAAAGTTTCGTAAAGCTTTTGCTTGGAACGAGTATCAGTTTCTACAAGAAGATTATTTTCAGCTCGGCACAGAGTCACGATAATTCTTAGATACTTTTCTACCTGATTATTAATATCTCTCGACAGTCCGCTACTTGTATACAAGGAAATCAGTATTTTACGTGTTTCAATCCACTGTCCAGTTCGCATGTAAAATTCAGCCTTGGTCAGTTTCGCCTCAGCTTTCAGGCGCACATCGCCAACAGTACTCGCCGTTTCAATATACTGTAACACCAACTCGTGATTACCTAGACGTTCGTATATACCTGCTAGAGACAAACATGTTCGATGCAAATCCTCCTGAAAATTGTTCGCTAGACACAACGCGGCCGCTTGCTCAATCAAGGTGATGGCTTGTTGCGTCTCTTTTTGCGTTTCTAATGTTAATCCCAAGTTAAGAAGTAATCTTGCCCGCATTAGCAGTTTTTCTTCCATCTTGATTCCAGTTCCTTCCAGCTTGTCACACAACTCCATGCTCTTTACATAAGCTGCTTTTGCATTTGCTAAAGCCTCGTCGCGTTTTTGTAACTGAGTGACCAAACTTTCGGCCTGGCAGAAGTAAGTTCTGCCCAAGGTCGCGAATGCGCGTTGTTCTTCCACCAGATCTCTCATGTCTCTGGCACCTTCCAGATGCAGATTTTGATGTATCAGAGCTTGCTCGTAATCTCCCAGACTCGCATAAATCTCACCAATCATTCTGTGCGCTACCGCACAATTTAACTTGTCACCCAGCTTCTCGCAGATGCTCAGTTGCTCCGCATATTCCTGCAGAGCTTTCCTCGGTTGTTCAGTTTCGAAGTACATATCCCCGAGAGCTTTTGTGATTTCTGCCAACTGAGACAGATTGTTATCACGTTTGGCGTGTTGCTTCCTTTTAATTAACTTATCGATACTCATCTTGGAAGTTTCCGGTCTGTACATTCAAAACACACGGAACAATATTTGTTTTCTCTGTTTTTATTTGATTTCTTCGAAATTCTACAAATTTATAACAGCAATATCAATTTTAGGCTTCATAAAGATATCGCTCACACAAGAGTGCGTTTATATAAATGCAATATAAATACCGTCTTGTTCCAATTTTCAACAAAAACATACTTGTTCGAGTTTTTTTGGCGCGTACATCACAACCGTGAAAATTAAAATAGTTGCACAATACAGCAGAGAGTTGCAACAAATCAAACAGAATGACATTTTTCCTAAAACTTCCTGACCGAACTTTGGGGGTTAGAATTACCTTCGTTCAGAGAGCGGGAATTAATTGTTAAGCAATTAACAAAAACAAGGAACATCGGTCGCTTTTTTTATTGGACAAAACTTATTTGATATTTCAACAAATTTCTGTTCATTGATAAAATCAGCACTTTCTATATAAAATGTTTTTTTTTTTTTTTTATTTTACGCTACATGCAAGATCGCGCGAAATAGCCAATCAGCTTCTTCTGTTTTTTCAATCGTTGATGCGATTGGCCCTTTGCGTGGCGCAGACGCGGTTTCGAGTATAATGAGATGAGATTCATCTCAAAAATATCTGGAATATCGGAGAGGAAAAGGATAGAAAAAAAGAGAGAAAAAGAAAGAAGCACAGATACTATATTTATTGGAAAATTTGTCTGCAACCTCGTAAAAGATAAACATGCATTTATCGCATTTTTTTATCGCGTGATGACTTGGTTAAAAAGAAGACACCTTAACGCGGCATCATTCGATCAGCTTTAACATACTTTAAAAAAAACATACGTTAAAATTATATATTTGCATTTATTCTCACAAAATGTCAAAACCGGCTCATATTTTACATGGAAAAGGAAATGTGGTAAAATTTGATATATCCCTCGGACAACTTTTACGAAATCAATTGGATGTACACGGGGATCGTGTGGCTCAAGTAAGTTTGTAATTTTTTATTATTTTTTTTTTTTATGTACTTATGACAACTTCGTAACTTTTTCGTATCAAGAGTGCTAAAAAAAAAATAGCATTTTACAACGGAGAATAATTATTATTTTATAATATAGGTGGATGCTCACACAAACAAGGCGCGAACATTTAAGTATATTTCAATTGCCAGTCGAAAATTGGCAATCTATCTGCAGAAACAAGGATTACGCGTGGGTGACAAGATAGCGATATGTAGCGAAAATAGTCTGGAATTTTGTATTCCAGTATGTGCTGCGTTTTATTTGGGTGCCACTGTTTGCCCATTGAGTCCGTTTTACACCAGGGAAGAATTAAAGCATACACTTTACATTTCTAAGCCAAAGTATATATTTATCTCTAACATGGTGATCAAAACCATGAAAAATATATTCAAGGAATTGAACTGGTCACCCACAGTGATAATACTAGCTGAATACAGCATTGTTAAGTCATGGACATACGTGCACAAAGCAATATCAAAAATTTCCGATAATGAAGTAAGCCTGTTTCAGCTTGCATCTGTTGATATAGATGATCACGTAACAGCAATTTTTTGCTCAAGTGGAACTACAGGTTTACCTAAGGGTGTTACACTGACAAACAAAAATATCACTGCAGTACTGTCTAATATTGTGGCAACTACTCCTCAAGATATAGAAAGTCGCACATTTCTGACAGTTCTTCCATTTTTCCATATATATTCTTTTATAATAATGTTGATGCAATTGATAGCTGGAACCACAAATGTGGTGTTTTCCCGCTTTGATGAAAAACTGTTTCTAGAGAGTATAGAAAAATATCAAATCGAACAATTGTATATGGTGCCGTCGCTTGTAGTATTTTTAGCTAAACATCCACTTGTGGACAAATATAACTTGTCTAGTATCAAAAGAATATGGTAAATATATTGTGTTCAGCAAATAATTGGAAAAGTTAAGGCAAAACAATTGCACCATTAAAAACCAATAATAAAAAGAATAATTTTCTATATAGGATATAATCTTTTGTTGAAATAGGTGTGGGGCAGCTCCATTGTCAAAAGAAACTCAAGAGGCTGTAGGAAAGCGATTAAACATTTTCGATATTAGACAAGGGTATGGATTAACAGAAACCACTTTAGGTGTGATAAGATCAACACAGAAAATAAAACCTGGTAGTGTTGGTGTGTTGGTTCCGGGCATATCAGGTATAACATATTTTTGTTATAATAAAATAGAATATATATTGCTCATTAATCTGTTAATGTTACGTACTGACAAAGTTCTCTAGCAATATGTGTAACTGTGTGTGTGCAATTGTTTTAGCAAAAGTAATACCACTTGGAGAATACGAGACCGATGAGACTTTGGGACCATATTGTGAAGGAGAGTTATGTTTCAAAGGCGATCTAATAATGAAGGGTTATTATAACAATGAAAAATCCACTAAAGCTACAATTGATAAGGATGGTTGGTTGCACACAGGTGACGTGGGATATTACGACGATGAAGAATATTTTTATATCGTTGATCGGATAAAGGAACTTATTAAGTACAAAGGCTATCAGGTTCCGCCAGCTGAACTCGAAGGGATCTTGTTGACTTGTCCCAATATAAAAGATGCGGCCGTCATTGGCGTGCCAAATGAAGAAGCTGGAGAATTACCGATGGCCTTCGTTGTCAAGCAAGAGAATTCCGCAATATGCGAGAAAGATGTAATAGATTATGTCAACGGTAAGGAGTATTCTCACTCTTGTATGTACGTGTTTGTACACGTAATTTTATGTATTGATTGTTATATGTAACGATTGTTTTATGTTGCTTCAGAGCGGGTATCAAATCCAAAACGACTTAGAGGAGGTGTAAAATTTGTAGATAGCATTCCAAGGGTATCAAGCGGCAAAATACTACGTCGAAAGTTGCGTGATTCATTATTATCAAAATTATAAATCTACTATATTTGATTTTTTATAGTAATACACAAGAGTAGTTTTATTATAAATATATGTATGTATATTCTAATATATAGTTTACAAAATATGATAAATAGTAATATCCCGACAGGTAAATTAGGAATTCCCAATTTTCCTGTAAGGAAAAGGTTTCAAATTCGCGATTTTTGGCCGAGAGGCTACAGTTTTCACAATGTACTTTAAAGTTGTAAGATTTTTTAGGATTTTTCAGTAACAATTTATATCAATCTTACTTGAGGCACTGCATTACTAAAAAGATACTACAATTACATATAAATATAAAATTACGTGCAGTTTTAAATGCATTATTATTATCCTCATCCTCAACGAAGACAAAGTTAAAACTAAATTTTTTTAAAGATTTGTTTCTCTCTCTCTCTCTTTCTCTCTCTCTCTCTCTCTCTCTCTCTCTCTGATGTATAACTTTTAAATTTATTACAACATAATCAATCAAGAGAACAAAGAATACAGAAAATTTAAACACAAAGTTATACCTGCAATATAACTTAAGATGTACTTTACACATTTCACGTAAACTAGTACAATTTTCCAAAAAAAAAAAAAAAAGAAATAAGTTTGGTCTTTTCATCATAATATATGTAGTGTAGATAGTATATGTATATGTATGTACAAGATGTGTTCTAGGATAAGTAAATTATCTTTTACCTATAGTCTTCTTTTTTAGTCGATCTGAAGGTGATTTTTTTTTGTTAGAGAGAATACTGAATATAATATTATGTAAGAAAAAAATTTATTAATTATTTTATTATGTGGATATTTTTAATGTAAAATCAATTTCAGATCGATGCACACAAAATTGTGCGATGTAACAATAGTATTAAACAAACTAACACACGCATTCGTACACATTCTCTTTCTCTCTCCGCGATTCTATTGCTAATAAGGACACTGCAATATGTAAAAGAAGAAGTCCGGTGTACTAACAAATCTACATCACTGTTTCTTAAAGCTCTTGAGAATTGGATAGATGTTATCGAAGGCTTCATAAATTTCCTTGCGAACTTTCGCACCTGTTGTGTAAATATGAGCATTTAGAAGAAAAGGAATATGAAAAAATTTTCAATCAAAATTATGCTTTTTCCGCAAAAAATTAGTGCAGAATAGAATCACGCGCTCGCGCGCGCGACATAAATTCACATAAAATTTACCTGTTAATACCACTTTTCCTGAGACAAATATGAGTAAAACAATTCGAGGTTTAACCATTCTGTATATTAGACCTGGAAATAGCTCAGGTTCGTATGATGAGAACTGTCCGTGAGAGAGCACTAATCCTTCTAATCTAATTGGGAACTTAACATCACAGCTGCCAACCATGTTCTGGATTTTAAAATCTAGGAACTTTGCCTATAAATTAATATATTAAACATTATTTTAACAACAGATAAAATCTAGATAATGGTGTCAAATGTCATTTCATTTAATTAATAGATCTATATTAGGAAAAAACCTGCTGTGACAAATATGATTTTGCTTATTATGTCCTAATGATCAAAACAATACTTACGGGAAAGCCTAATTTTTGGATAATTCTAGCATACTTCCGTGCAGCAAGCCGGGAGTCCCCTTCACTCTTGGCACCAGTGCAGACCATTTTGCCACTGCTAAATATTAACGCAGTAGTCCTTGGCTCTCTAATTCGCATTATCACAGCTGCAAATCTTTTTGGATTATATTCTGCATTTCTAGCGTGAAGTGCTATTCTCTTCAAGTCTAACTTGCAATTTAAGTTCACAGTGGACACAATATTTCTGTAGAAAAACAAAGATGAGTATGTGAACAAAAAGTTTTGCAAAATCTATGTCAGATAAATTCTTTCATTCTCACTGTAACTGTGGTAATATTCCAGGATCAGCTGAAGCTGGTGTCATTGGTGTCATTGGACCTGGAGTAGCAGGTCCAATTGATGGTGGTGCTATCTGATTATTTTGTGGTATTATGGGAGACATCATATTTTGCTGCAGATAAAAAGATAAAATTATAGAAGAATGCACAGTATGTTAGAAAAAATTGCATATATATATATAATCATATAAAGCTCTAATTAACAGAATATACAATTACATTAGCAATAACAGTTTTACAATAGCCAGTGTGAAAATTAATTCAAATTACCGGTGTTTGTGGCTGCATAAGACTTTGGGGTGTAGCAAATTGTGTTGGCGTTGGAGCATATGTATGCATTGTCTTTTGCGGTGTTGTTATCATAAGCATGCTACCCTGCATGTTGGGGCTCATTGAATGCAATTGTTGCAGCTGATATTGCTGCGACTGTTGCTGTTGTAAAGCATTTGGCAAAATTTGTTGATCTTCTTCTGGTTGATGCACAGGAGTACCAATGCTTGGTATACTGAAACCGCCAGGACTGGGAAGCATCTGATCCATTTTGGACGTTTGGTAAACAAATTTGTGGATATAACTAAAAAAGTTGATATTTAATTGTTATTATAACCTAAATGTATCGCAACCTAAAATATAACACATATTAACACTTTTTATTGCAAATTTAATGTTATTTGTATATTTGTTTAAAAAACATTGTGTTCTTCGAAGTTTATTTACCGTGTCTAATTTATTGGATGTTACTATCTACTTTTGTTTTAAGTAAATGGTTTAACAGTTATTTTGTTCAACATATCTTACAAACTTATGTTACATTCATTAAAACCACACTTCGTGTTGTTTTTAAACTAAACTAGATTTATATTCAAACGTGTAATTTAACTTGTTGTTTATAACTTATATCATTCGATCAATTCAAGCATGAATGAAGTTCACACGAAGTTTGTTCTCTTTCTACACCTCAGGACTGAACTTTGTGAAAAGTGTACGCAGACGGCGGTATTTTAAGATGCTGTATATGTTCACAACTTACAAATACACTTTTTAATGTACTAGCACAACACAGGCGCGCGCTACGCGCACGCTATTGTTATTTTTATTTAACGTGTTGTCAGCACGGGAAAAGAATAAAAAAGAGAATATTATATATATTATATGTAATATAAAATATCTATATATAATACACACACATACGCATATATGTATATATATATTTATATATATACCGTAATCACGTGACCGAAGTCAGTAACACCGCCGCGGTCGCGCGGCCGAGGTCAGTGACCTCACCGCAGTCACGCGACCGAGGTCATTGACCGCGCTGCGGTCAGTGACCCCCCCCCACCAAGGCCGCGCGGCCGGGTCAGTGACCCCCCCCCACCAAGGCCGCGCGGCCGAGGTCAGTGACCCCGCCAAGGCNGACCCCGCCCCCACCAAGGCCGCGCGGCCGAGGTCAGTGCCCCGCCAAGGCCGCGCGGCCGAGGTCAGTGACCCCGCCAAGGCCGCGCGGCCGAGATCAATGACCCCGCCAAGGCCGCGCGGCCGAGGTCAATGACCCCGCCAAGGCCGCGCGGCCGAGGTCAATGACCCCGCCAAGGCCGCGCGGCCGAGGTCAATGACCCTGCCAAGGCCGCGCGGCCGAGGTCAACCAATCGGCAACGCGGAAAAGAGGCAATAAAATATATTTGCTGAACCCACGTTTATTCATACCATGTGCATGCGCACTACAGTAGAGAGCTCTCAGGAAAAGTTGTAAACTCGTGACGTCATTGGACTGGCTCTCCTCTGTCCAATCAGAAGCGACTGTGACAACACGAGTTTGCGACTCTCTTCTCTGAGAGGCTCTCCACTAGTTTGCGCAAGATTCTTGCCAAAGAGTGGGGAAATGCAGGGGAAATGCAAGAAGTGAGAATTCCCGCCATGAGTAATAGGGAACTTGTTGCAAATCGCGGGAAACTTTGTTGTTTTGTAGTATGTAACGTTTTAATTCTAACAAAGTGTGAACGCGCGAGAGATGAATCCTAATGAAGTAGAGTTCCTCGGTGAAAAGCAGCTGGTTAGTATAGTGCCGAATTTTACATCGGATGTGATTTACTTGATCTCGGGCTCGGTAGGACCGTTTCGCGCGGGTTTGCCCGTAAAGGTGCCGATCTGGCTCGCCGTATACCTCAAACAGAAACAGAAGTGTCGGATCGTCAGTCAGGAATGGATGGACATCGAAAGCCTAATCGAGAGGAAAGAGATGGAGAAGATGTCCAAGTAAGTGAAAAACTTCACTGAAACTTGTGTTATCTGTTTTTTTTTTTTGTGCGGTTTAGCTTGAATATAATTTCAAAACTACTACATGCGTTGACTACACCAATCAATCATTCATTCTTTAACTTAAATATTTACAATATTGACACAAAATATATACACAAATATTAACAATTACTCTGTGTTGATAAACTTAGAGCAAGCAAATTTAATTGATTGAATATTTGTGTGCAACATGGTATAGTTTTATGAATTTTTGAATTTTTTTCAACACATGATGGTTTTACTCATAAGATAATTGAAAACTAGATTGTTCACGGAGATGCCCAGTTATCATTATATAGATGAAAGCCAAATTTTGCTGAATATAGCAAATGACGACATACCCAATGCAGATGGAATAAGGATTGCTGTGAAGGTAGATAGGTCAGATTGAGTTTGATAAAATTTAATTTTGATCAAATTTGTAATAGAATTTGTTTGGAAGGACATATGGGATACAAGAATGTCTAAGCTACGCACATCTGTGGACGCTTTTGTAAAGAGCGAAGGTGTTCATGCAAGACTAGATCATCTTACTGCGATGGAGATTAATAGTATACGTCCATTACTGCCACATGCATTAGATCAAATGTTACGGATACAGTCTGTAAGAAAATGATTGTTTTTTTTGTATGCGAAATAAATTTTTCTTTTAATTTTTTTTATTGGTGTTACACGCACATAATATATTTACAAATTATAATTGACACATATTCTTTTTGGAATGAATATTTTGTACGATATAATGTTTCTCTTAATATTTTTTACAGGCAAATTCGGGAGAATCAGATTCTCAGAGTAGTGTGTGAAGAAATTGAAGTATCAAATTATTTACATCATTATTGTTTACAAACTTATGCGGGAAATAAAACACTAGGTATTTATAAGTACTGTGTAATAGTTTATTAGTCAGCTTATTGTTCATACATACATTCATCACTAGCATATCTTGATCACATTTTCTCATTATCACTATACATATATAAGTGAATATTTACATTGGTGAATATGTTTTATGCCCTTATTCGTTGTTCATTATTATATGGCATTCTTTTCGCGTTTATATTTACACAATTTCTAAGCATAAGTGTACTACTTAAGCATAAGTGTAGTACCCTTAACAATCTTTGATTGTTCTCTTCTTAAGTAAAACACTCCGTCCATTAAGACTGTACAATTTTGTAAGGCTATTTGTTAGAAATAAGTGATTTGAAAAAGAATTTGTTCTAATAGATCTTTTTTTTTTTTTTTGAAAATGTACTTTTACGCAGTGTGCGATGTGTTATTAGGAAAATTATTAATTTGCTTTCAAAAGAGTGTAAATTAAATATGACACAAAAGAAAATAAGTTTGACTCATTAGATCTTATTTATACATGAAAGATATAGAAGATTACACACACAATAATAAATTTTTCTTTAAGTACAAAAATTAAGAAATTTAAGAGATTAAATGCAACCCATTGTTTGGCAAGTTTAATAAATTAGTGGTTCTACAATTGTAGGTAAAATATTTTTTATAATAAAAAAGTGCGAAAAAAACGACAGAAATCTATTTCGACCAGCGATAAAATTCAATAGAGTTTGCTGGTTTTGACGTAATTGAGTATCGTAGTTACTCAGCATTTTAGATGGCTCATAAATTGGTTTACGTTTCGAGTACCGCTCATATTATTTAGAATTAACGTTATAAAAGCAACATATTAAAGAAATCTCGAAAATATCACATAAAAAATTCCGTTTCTGAAATTGCGACACTTCAAAGCGAATGATTGTTCTTCAAACCGCTACAATTTTACTCGGATCTACTTTAACCCGAATGAACATCGTGTCGTCTTTGACGAAGTGTCGTTTCTTCACCATCTCGTGAGAAACGAATCTCGGAAAGCCGAAGCCGAGGGAATCGGGCTCGCGACTCGGTCGCTGAAAGTTCTTCCAGGTCGGGTCCGGTATGAAGCTCTCTACGATGTTGCAGGCTTTCTCCGCAACGACCGTCTGATCGAACATCGTGAACGACACGCTGTGCGAGAACGGCCATCGCAAAAGCGCGTCGTATTCGCCGGGCAGGATCTTTATGTATATCGAGATGTGACTGCCTTCTCCGGTTCCGTTTCCGTTCAGGAAAATCGAAGCCTGTGTGTGTGATCAAGAAAACAGTATTATAAAATATTATTTTAGGTAACAAAAGTAGTGTAACGATTGTTTATACAATATGAACATTTACGCACCTGTAACTTGTATCCGTATTGACTAGTATAAAAAGGTGGACTGACGAGCTCCATTCCCTCCTTCGCTTTCGCTTCCGACATCTTAGCCGCGTAGTCCGTGATCTTCCATATAAGGGTGCCTGTGTAATTTAGCGACAGTTTGCTTATCGCCGATTTCAGACTAGTTATTTGATGCTGTTGCTTTGTCACGAGACTACACATAAGACTTAGATGCATCTTTGCCGATTCCTCCAGATGTTTATCTAGCGAAAATCTGTTTCCCTGTTTACAAAACAAGATGTTGTTCTTTTAGAGATAGAGATACAATTGTAAGATTTGAATTTTTTTTTATAATTGACAAATAATTGAAAATATCGTTTCTTTGCAGAGACGCTATAAGTTTGTAAAACAACTTGTTACTTGGCACGATTGTGTCTTGTGCAACCTAGATATCAAATGTTGTACGTACGTAGTGTCGCGTAGAAATAAACCAGTTTTGGTTTTTTTTATCTATTTGTCTTTTATGTGGCAGATTTATAAAAAAAAATACCTTGAAGCGGCAACCGGCGTCCTTGAAGGTACAGGAAAGTAAATGCGTGGTGCAATGATCCTTCAGATGAATTTCGAGATCCTCTCGCGGCAGCACCGCGGTTTCGCAACGGTGAGGGCACGCTACCGGAAATCGGCCACACTTGGCGTGGTGGGCTCCGAGCGTGTCGAAAACAAACTCCTTGTTACAGTAACGACAGGCGACGAGCCTCTTGGCACACTCTCCCAACTTGTGCTGACCGAGGTGTCGCCTCTGCACTTTCATTCCGCATTTATTCTCGCAATACAGAGGCTCGTAACCGCACGTTCCCGTGTGTTTCTGCAAAAATCGCGTGACTTTTCAGAAAGATACTGAAAACTAATCAGTTTCGCGGAAAACGACAAAAATACATTTTTAGACAAAAAAGAACTGTTGAAAAAAATTGAGATGAGTAATAATTTTTGAAAAAAAATTCAATATTACAAATTTATTTTACATCAAGAAAGAATTTCGAGATAAAAATTGTAAAGAGCTAATTCTATCAAAGACATGTGCGATCAAATATCTAAAACAACAGTATTCTCAGGTAGATTCACGAGTCATCGCGATTGTTATTACCTCTAAGGTATGTCCGGTAAATTCTTTGGCACAGAAGTCGCAACGAGCTCTGCGCTGAGCACAGGTGTACTTCAGATGGTCTTCCATCAGTACTCGTGGAATCATTGCACCGCATTTATTGCCGCAAGGAACCGCATCGTGTTTGCACGTGTTCAAATGCGCCTAACGAGAACAAAAATTAAAACATTAAAGTAAAAAATAAAAACAATCAAAATATTAAAATTAATTTATAGTTCTTTTAAAATTTATTTTTGCTCTCTAATATCTGAATTTCTTTTAAAGACGTTTTGTACCTTCAATTTTCTCAGCTCATCCGACCACTTGCAGCCGTCCTTGTGATGAATACAGTAAACGATGGAGCTCATTATTGCCTTTTCTGCTTCCGTGTCTTGGAAGTTCTGCAAAAGAAATCCATACTGCGGAAAACGTTATCACAGAGATCCGAGGTAATGTTTAAAACATTAAAAACTGTATTTCTATGCTTCGTGTGACTGACAGCAGAGAGCCTTCGTGATCATCGCATTTAAATCCTATTACGTATTTTCGGGATCGACTTTTATTTACTTTTAGAAACAGAACACAATATGAAAGCTTCGGGGGGATGCTGCGCTGTGGGAGATATTGCCGCGTGCCGAGCGCCACGTGGGCGGTTGCAACCCAAGAATACTTTTTTAAGTATTCTATTGTCGCGCGCGTTTGTGCTTGTTTACTCGTAACGACTTCTTTAAACGTTTGTATTGTTTAAACCTTCATTTTGACACAAATATGACTTTCAGTCGTTTTATTTTTATTTTCCAGTGTTTATCAATAAAGATAGAAATTAAAGCCGCAGCATTTATTTGCATTTCAATGAAGTTCAAATGCTTTTAAATTTTCAGGACATGCATAAAAAATTGTTATAAATGTTGCAATAATAAAGGACAAATTAAAAAAAAAAAAAAAAAGAAAAAATACAACTTACGATTTTTCTTTCTATATGTAAGACTCATTTACTTACTTCAAAAAAATCATTTTTCTTTGAAAAAACACGTTGGTTCGGGAAAAAGACGATGAAATGAGGATCAATCTTTATACCATCATACACAGAAATGCATCCGACGTGTAAATATATGTGTAGGAAGACGTTCGAAGGTGCTCGCGCAAGTTGAAACCTGCACGACCGGCAAGGTCGAGGAACCTAACGCAACCAGTCAGCCGTTAGCGGCGAGATATAAACAACAGAAAAGGAATGAAAGAGACGAATCTGTCTTCTCGCTCTCGAGATTGCCCTAGAGGGGAGTTTAAATCGCATGCTTTGAAAAAGGAGAAGCAAAAAAAAAAAA